TTATGAAAAAGGCAGCTGGGTCCCTGAGGGCGGGCTTTAGAGCAGTGTCTGGGCTGGTGCTGGGGACTCTTGGGTGGTCTCTGAGAGCTGGCGGGAGTGGGGCGGGGGGAGGACAGGGTGAGACCGTTGCTCACTCAGTGTCTGCTGGCCAGTGTTTTTTGGCATTCTAACTGCGAGGTGCTGCGGTCGGTGCAGGCAAGCCTCCTCAGAGCCTACATTCTAGACAGGTGACAAACACAAATAAGACAGAGTGTTGGGCTTCCAGTAATTTTGTGTGTGTACCCAGACATGGAATTGCTGGAACATATCATTCTATGCATACTTTTCTGAGGGACCACCCTACCATTTTCCGCAGCTGTGTACCTATTTACATTCTCACCAGCAGGGCACACGGGTCCGTTTCTCTACAGCCTTGCCAGCACTTGTTACTTTGGATTTTTTTTAATAGCTATCCTACTAGTGTGATGTGATATCTCATTTTCCTAATGACTGATGATAATGTGAGCATCGTCATGTACTTACTGGCTCTTTGGAAGATCTTCTTTGGAGAAATGTCTATCAATTCCTTTGCCCGTTTTTAAGTGGGGTTGGTCGTTTTTGTTGTTGTTGAGTTTTAGGAATTCTCTTTACATTCTGGGTATTAATCTTTTGTCAAAGATTTCCTTCAATGTCTGGGTCTGGAAAGGCTGAGAGGGAAGGTCCTGTCTCTTTAAATCCCTATTGACAGAGCTGGCTGGGCAGTCACCCACCTCCCGGAGTTGGAAGCACCGTCACCCTCAGTACTGGCTTCTCAGCAACCAAGCACCCAGCTGGGTTTGGGGAGGAAAAGGCCGATATGGGGCACTGTGGCACCAGCAAGCCACGCCAGGAATGTGGGCTGCCTGCCCCTTTGTTGCCGGCCTGGAGGCCGCTCCACAAAATGCCACACTTCACTGACATTTCCCAGCCTCTCCCTCAAGCTCTGCCCTGGAAACTGCATGTGTTCATCTAGCTCCAGAGTTCCAATTTTGGAGTCTGAGAGCTCCTGCGAGCTCTGCAGTTGTTAGGTGGGGAGCCTGATTCCCGGAGCTTCCTACTCTAACATCTCCCACGATGCCACCTCATACGTGCGTATTTTCTTCTTTTAGATGTCATTGTAAATGGAGTTGCTTTCTTAATTTCCCCATTGGATTGCACAGTGCTGGTGTGTAGGAACACAACCAATACTGATGTTTTGATCTTGCACCCTGCAACCTGGCTGAATTCATTTATTAGCACTAGTGACTTTCTTGTGGGTTCTGGGGGATTATTTCTATATAGGATTGTGTCATCCATGAATAAGATAGTTTCACTTCTTCCTTTCCAATTTGGATATCTTTTCATTCTTTTTCTTGTCTAAATGCTCTGGCCAGGGATACATGGCTGGCTCAGTCAGTAGAGCGTGTGACTCTTGATCTTGGAATTGTAAGTTTGAGCCCCACGGTGGATATAGAGATTACTTAAAAATAAAATCTTAAATAAATACATAAATAAATAAATAAATAAATGCTCTGGCTAGAACTTCCAGCACACAGTGTTAAATAGCAGTGAAAACAGACATCCCGGCCTTATTCCTGACCTTCAGGGAAAGCTTTCAGGCTGACAGAATTTTACTGAGGACCTGTTACATGCCAGGCTCTGGGGAGACAGCAGCACGTAAGACAGACAAACACCCCCACCTGGGTGGAGCTTACATTCTACTGGGAGAGAGAAACAAGGAAGAAACGGGGACGCAGGTGGGAGGTAGAAAGCGGTCTCAAGAAAAATAAAGCAGAGGGTGACATTTGAATAAATCCTAAAGGAGGAGGAGGAGGGAGCCACAGGGAGATCTAGGGGGAGCGCCTTCTGGGCAGAGGGACAGCAGTGCCAAGACACTGAGGGGAGTGTCCCTGGCCTGGCCACGGAACATGGCAGCTGAGTGGCAGGTTTGGAGCAGCCCCGAGAGGGGAGCTGTTTATCGCTTTTCTCCCCAACTGTCTGCACGTTCTGTTCCAGCAAACCCCGCCCCACGAGCCCTGACTGGGAAGTCTTGGGTTTAGTCTGGGCTTCACTGGCTCCTCTTGCCAAGGTCTCTATCAAGTGCCCTCCACCCTCTGCACCAGGGGTGAGGCCTTGCCCAGGTCTCTAGGGAGGCTCTGTGGAACCAGCCCCTCTGCTGTGTCACAGACATTGGCATCTCTACTCATAAAAGTCATCAAACCCAGAAACTGCAACCTCCCTGCTTCAACCCCTCTCAACATCTTAACAGAACTGAATAGTCCTCCCCATGGTCCATAAGGCCCTACCCGAGTGTTTTCAGACTGGCCTTCTGCTCTTGCTCTAGTGCTGCGAGCTCGTACCAGCCTCCACCTTTGCTGGCCCTTCCCCACTGCCTAGAGTGCCCTTCTCCCTCTTTCATCCTTCAGGATTGTTATGGATAGGCATCAAATGTCACCTCCTCTGAGAGGCCTTCCCTGACTACCTCTCCCATTTAAAGTAAACCCTGCCCCCTGCCCAAAGCTTCCAGTAGGTTTCCTTTCTACTGCTTCTTGGCTGTTGTACATATAGACTGGCTGTTTGCTTTGCAATGCCTGCCTCCCTCGTCACAATGTAAGTCCCACGAGGGGGAGGGTTTTATTTGCCCCTGAATCCCCAGTGCTTAGAACACAAGTGCCACATCCAGCTGGCACTTAATAAGGATTTGTGAATGAAGACCAAACCCAGAGCTCACTTTTCCGACGTCAAATTCCAGCTAAGTCTTTGCCCAGACCCCTTAACGGCCCCTCCACTTGCGGTTCCCCAGTATCTTCTTCCGAATCGGACTTCACACACTGGGAGACTAGCCAAAACCCTAAAGGTGGGGTGGTGGGTGTCGTAATAGTGAGTGGAGACACTAATAATAGCAGTATCAAAGAGCTGAGCCCTTGACATGTATCTCCCCTTACAGCTCACAGTAGCCTCAGGGAATCGGGATTGCTCGCATTCCACAGATGAGGCAGCTGAGGCCCAGAGAAGTGCTGTACTCCACCATGCATGTCTGACCCCGGCGTTCCCGCCCTCAGCTGGGGCATTCTCGGCTGGGCTCCAGAAACCCTATCTGTACCTGGCCCAGGCTCAGAGCTGTGTCCCCAGGCCCTTCTCCCCCAGGAGGCCCCTCTCCCTCAGAGTCTTTCTGGCCCCTACCTTAGTCCCCAGCTCCTGCAGCTGAACCCAGGATGTCAGGCTCAACTGTTCTCCTGGCCTGAGCCTCTGGCCGATGTGCCCCCATCCAGGCTGACTTCACTTGCCTGCCTCCCAAAGGCACAGAACCCTCAACCAGACCATGGAGATCAGCTTAGGGGGGCCTCTTGTTTGCATGTCACCGCCAAGGGAAGTGATATACCCAATCTCGAGTGTCACAGGATACCCCCCCCATTAACTATCCTCCTGGTACCACAGGATGAATCAGTATAGTTTATAAAGCCTTCAACCATCTTGTGCCAGTTGCATTGTTTTGTTTATGTGTGTGTGTCTAAAGTTAATTTGTTATCTGCAAACATTTCAAAGCTATTTTTTTTTTTTTTTTTTTTTTGTAACTCCATTTCAGACTTTCTTCATTTTTCAGTTTGCTCTGGAGCAGAGTGAGTGAGTGCACAGTCGCAACAGTGGGGACAAGTGTTGAGAGCAGCACGTGTTTGAAACCAGCTCAGTGCCCGCTCACATGGATTGGTTAAGTAAACTATACTACATTCACACTATGGGATCACTGTTCTGCTCACAACACTAAAAGTCTAAGGGAACTTGTGATGTATTGATAAGGAAGAGTCTCCACAATGTCGAGGTTAGTGGAAAAAGGGAGGTGCAGGAAGCCTGTTTCTTGTGTGACCGTTTGTGTGGGAAAAAAAACAAACTGTACAAGCCATATCCACATTTGCCTGTGTGCACAGAGCATGTGCGTGGAGCGCGTGGAGCAGGAGGTGAGAGACTCGTGCCACTGGCCATCTTGGAGGAGGGGATACTGGGTATTTGGGGACAGGAGGGGCCTTTCAGAAGAGGGGGCTTGGAACACTTTTTGAATGTTGAACCATGGGAATCCTTTACCTATTCAAAACCAAATTAAATTAAAAGCTGACGGCAGTAAGGAGCACCGAGGCACCAGCAGGCAGTACTGCCCAGCCTGCCCGCCTCAGCCCCCACAGCCCCCAGAGGGGCGCCAGCAGCTTCCCTCCATGCTCCGGCGGGGCCACCTGGCTGCAGACGTGGCACTTCGGAGGAGGCAGGACGTCTCCCACGAGGGCCTGGGGCCAGCTGCTACTTCCTCTGGGCTCAGCCCAGTGACCTTAGCTGCAGAGAGGCTGAGAGAGACCCACTTACACTGTGGTGCCTTCCACAACGTTATGTGGTGAATTGTGTCCCCCGCTCCCCACCCAATTAACATTTTTGAAGACTTGAAAGCCTAACTTCCAGCACCTCACAAGGTGACCCTGTTAAGAAACAGGGTCATTGCCGCCATATCTTAGATGAGGTCATGCTTGAGTAGTGTGGGCGCCTAATCCTATATGACTCCTGACCCTAATTAAAAGGGGAAATTTACAACAGGCACGCACACAGGCAGAACGCCATGTGATGATGAAGGCAGAGATAGCAATGACACGTTCCGTCCAAGGAACACCAAAGATTGCCAGCAAACAACAGAAGCTTCCTAGGAGAGAGCCTGGAACAGCCTCTTCCTCTCAGCCCTCAGAAGGAACCAACCCTGTCAATGACACCTATATCTTGGACATCATTCTCCAGAACTGTGAGACAATAAATCTTTGATGTTAAAGCCACAACTGGATGGTGGCACTTTATTACAGCGGCCCTAGGAAATAAACCATGGAGTTTCTAGAGAACCTGGCATACCTATGACCTCTGCCTCATGGCCTGATTTGGAATCACCTTAACCCTCAATTAAGTCTGGATGTCACTGTCCCAGGCTCCCGAGGCTGTCTTTGACTCTGAGCCCACCCCAGCCCCATACTTACTGTTGTAAGTCATACCCTTGGAGACCACAGTAGACACAATCTTGGACATCTGGGCAGAGGAACAAAGGCTTGTTGCAAAGCTTGATTTTGGCTAAAGGCGATTCCAACCTGAGGAGTGACACAGTGCTTGAGCCAGATGATCCCCAGGCCCTCAGCAACCCTTGCCCCCAGGTGGCTGAGAACACTTGGCCTTTACTGAGGGCCTGCCATGTGGCCAACACCCATAGCTCCCTGCCTCCCCCTTCCTTCACCCTCTCTCCCCTCCTTGACTTAGTTCTAGCTGCCCTGCCTAATCTTCCTATTTCTAGAACATGCCAACCTTGGTCTGCCTCAGAACCTTTGCATATACCACCTCCTTAGCCAAAAAATGTTCACTCACACCCAGCTGGGGAGGAGGGTTCTCTCCCTTCAGCTCTGAGCTCAGGTCACCCACTTCAGAGACACCTTCTCTCACCACTCCATTCCAAAATGGTTTCTTTCTCCCCAACTCCATAGGACCTCACTTTACTTTCTTCTCTGCAATTATCACTATCTGATTTGTCACTTAAAAAAAAAAATCGGTGCATTGCCTATTACCCCCTTGAATGTAAGCTCCAAGAGAACAAGGGTATTTTCTCATTTGGAGCCAATGCGCTCATCAAGGTGCCTGGCATAGCCTTGGAGCTTCTGAACTATTCATTGAATGAATTTTTCATTTTGCAAAGGAGGAAGTAAAGGAGAGATTAAGCGAGGTGTCCAAAGTCATACAGCAAGGAAGGACCATAGCTGGGATTCCAGCCCAAGATTCCTTGACTCCAAAGCCTGCGCCCTTCCAGCAGCATTCTGCTACAACCCAGGCGGAAAGGAATCCTGGTCCTGAAGAGGCACTAGTTAGCAGCGCCCCGTCTCCCAGCGCCCCAACTCGGCGGGGATGCGCCGTGGGCCATACAGCAGGGGTGCACAAGGCAAGGAAGGATAGAGGGATGGCTAGGTAGTTAGGTACGTGATAAAGCCAATCTAGCAATGAGTAAGGAAGGGCGGGCAGCCTTGCAAAGGGGCCTTGCAAGGGGCGCCCGAGGAGCCCGCCCCAGGCCTCGCGCACCCCCGACCCGACGTCGCGCGCACCCAGCGGCCCCGCGCGCCCAGGCTACCTCCGAAGCCTCCGCACCGCAGTTCCCGGCTCCCAGCGCCCTGGCGTTCCGTTTACGTCGCCAAGGCAACCATTCTCCCTGCCCTCCAGGGCGGTGACGTCACAAAGCCAAAGAGCCCCGGCTGCGTGGGGGTGGGGCCTGCGGGCGGGTCCCGCCGCTGAGGGGAGGCCGGGAGCCCCGCCGTCCGAGGTCGGGGCGCCTCCTAGACAGCGTCTGGGATGGGGTCTGGGGCACAGGAGTTTCCTTCCTCCGTCATTCCTTATTCCGCCCGCCTCCTGCTCTTTTCCTTTCGTTCCCGATTCATTTATTCAGTGTGCACCTCGGGATGCATGTGGTGCAAACACAGACCTGTCCTTTCTGCCGAGTCGACCTCACTTTCTAGAGGGGCCGTTCTTAAAAGTACGGTCCCGGGGCCGGCAGCAGCAATGCCGGGAACTCGTTAGAAAAGCGAAAGTTGTGCCCGCCCTGAAGGAGAAAGTCTGCGGGGCGGAGCCGTGCAAACTGGGTGGTAACCAGCCCTCCTCGTGAATACAATGCTGGCTGAGGCTTGAGAATCACTACTGCAGAGAGTGAATGAGACTATTCTAATAAAGACACAGAATGACAAGGGCTATCAGTAGACAGGGGAGGGACGGGGTGATGAAGAGCAGGGATCCAGTTTAGATAGCCCAGATCCATCAGCTGATGGGGCCATGGGCTGTAGGTTGTGCCCTCTGCCTTCCCAGCTCAGGTCCCTGGCTCCTCCAAAACAGGAGAACCCCTCCCGGGGTTCCCACCATGGTCACCAGATTATCCCACGCATCTAGGGAATTTGCAGATGGACAAAGCCTGCTTGGAGCTGGGGCACGGTCAGGGCTCTTTCTAGCGATACTCTGTGCTCTGGAACAGTCTGTAAGCAAGTGAGTGCCGGTGAGAATCCCAGCAGCTCCCGCTCTGCCCAAGGCTGGTGTGGTGGGTAGGAGACCAGTGCCAGGGAATGTGGAGGGGCTCTCTGCGATGGAAGAGGTGGGGATCCCTGAATCAGCACTGGAGGACAGCATCCCACTGGCAATATCTACAGCTGGCTTTGTACAAGGGAGGAAGGACAGTTTTATTATGTCAAAAGCCATATATGTGATTTGTGCATGAGTGTGTTGGCGCGCGCCCAAATGTATGTGGAGGGGACTGCAAACAGCAGCTAGCTGTACCTGAACAGACAAGTGGTTTCCCTTGAGCCCCAGAATAGAGGCTCCTTCCACTGTCATTTAAAGACCTAAATGTTTTAGCCCCTGCCTGTCTCTGCAGCCGCAGAACAAGGAGCTAGGCATTGATTGGAGTCAGAGATCAGCAAGCACCAGAGGCACTTTATTAATTAATGACCGAGGTAGGAAAGCAAAGAGTTCCAAAATGGTTTATTGCAAATACTTGGAGTTCTAATGAGACTTTTAGGACTCTCGAAAATAGGTGCCCCAAAGAGGGAAAAGCTACTGAGCATACTATCAATTCATTGTTATTAGCAGGTACACTTATGAACTATTGTGAATTATCTGTGAACCTTTACAGAGTGTTTCTGGGTGACTGGCACTGTTCTCTGTGCCCATTTAATGCAGACTGCCAGTGAAATCGGCCCCTGTTATCACCCCCACTGTCAGTGGGGAGATTGTATCACCGTGAGATTAAGAAATCTGCCCAGCAGAGCCAGGGAGCACCAGAGACAGGGTTTACCTGCAGTGGAATTTTGTCTTTGCTCATAACCAGACACATGCTGGCTCTTACCAGGCATTGTTTCATAATTCTATGCAATTATCCAAAGCAATGATGCATACACTTTGCAAAAGCCCAAAAAGTCCAAAGGTGTGCTTCCTAAAATGGGCCCAGCACGTTCCCGCTTCGTGACTCTGCCCAAAGGTGTACCTCATAATAAAGACACATTCTCTACCTAATGTATGTGTTCCTGTCTTCACTTTGGCTTGTCGGTTATTTTGAAGATTAGAGAACTCCCTAGAAAATGTGGTCTTCTTTTTTAACTTATAACTTTAGCCTAAAAAAAACCAACTATAGACACAATTTGTAGATTAAAAGCTAATCTAAAAAAAATTAGACACATTGATGGAGACATACATAGATGGATAGATGATAAAGATGGATAGAGATGGGTTAGTTGTAGAATCTAAGTGGTGGGTATGTGAGTGTTCATTACAAATTTCAATTATTTCTATATGTTGAAGTTTGAAATTTTTCATAATAAAATATTGGGGGAAAATCTGAGGATCTTCTTAAAGGAGAAATTGTATTCCTGATTTCCTACTTTCCTCCTCAAGGGAGTGTATCAGTTCAGGGTTCTTGGTATCAGACATCAACTAGAACAGGTTAAAGGAGAAAGGGGAAGAAGAGGGGCTCCTGGAGCCTGCAGGGGACAGGGAACCAGGCAGGGAGATGGTGTGGCCAGCGGAGCCCAAAGCTGGCTGCAGGTGTGTCCTGGTGGAGACACTAAGGCTGTGATTCAGAGTGTGGCTATGGGAGTCTGCCTGTCAGAACCTCGGTCACCTGCCAACACCTTCTGTCTCATAGGCAGGAGCCTAAGGGTCCCTGCCTTTACCCTGGCTGAAAGGGAGGCTGGGAGAGAGAGCTTCTATGGTGGGAGGTGGGGGCTTCTAAAGTGGGGAGTCCCCCCAACCCAAGAAAGTTGTTTAAAGGTGCAGGTGGCACCTTTAAACTGGAAGGACGAGCACCTGTGTCTGTTCTGCATGGCACCAAGTCTCAGGTTGTCCCCATATCACCAACTCTATGCTTTTCCCCCCCCCAACCTTTCCCCTTTTGGGGGGATGTCCTTTATTATGCTGGTAGATTCCTACTCATTTCTCAAGACTCAAGTCAGGGGTTGCCTTCCTGGAAAGCATCCCTGAAACTTGCCAGTGTGGCTTTCTGTGAGGCTACAGCCTGCCTCCTCTAGATCCATCCCCAGACATTTTGTGCCTCTGGTGGCTGGGCAGGTCTGGTGGGGAGGAGAGTGGAAGGCAGGAGATATGAGAAAGCCAGGGCATCTGTCCCCTCCCTCTGCTTCCCCCACCTTAGCTGCACACCACCAAAGGACATTCTTCCTTTGTGACCAGGAGATCTGAGGCAGCAGGGTGTCACTTCCTGGACTGTGCCCCACAAGAGCATGTCATTTATCTTCAGGAGCCCAGGATAAGGAGAGTCACAGGCTGTGGCTACCTCAGGTGGGCCTGTTGTGGTTCTAGCCCTAGTTGGGAGCCCTGGGTCCTGGGCCCCAAAACACCACCTCCCTCCTCAGCCTGGGGTCCGCTCTTGCTAATTTCTGATGGCCTCACCATTCCCTTTTTGGCACCTATTTACTTCCATCGTGTGTGTAATCAATTCCCTATATTAAATTCCCTCCCTTTGAAAGCCTTCGAGGGCTTCTGTTTTCTGGACCCATTAAACAGAGGCAGGAAAGAACGGTGGCCAAGAGGAGGGGCTGTGGCCTCGTCCAGGTGGGGTCCAGATCCTGGCTCTGTTGCTCACTGACTCTGTGGCTTTGGGCAAGTTACTTAGTGCTCTGGGCCTCAGTTTCCTCCTCTAAAAAGTGGGAATGATAATAATGACCTGGGAGAATATTGTGTGGTTAGCACAGAACCTGGCACCTAGTTGGGCCTCAAATAATACTTGTGTGCCAATATTATAGTAGGATCTGAAGGCTGTGTCTGACTGAGAAGGTCCATCCACAGGCCTGGTCCTGTGTGCATATAGGGCGTCCTAGCCAGGTTGCTATGATCTCTGTGAGAAAGCTGAGGGTAGGAGACGAGAAGCCATTTGCCCAAGGCTACACAGCCTCTAAGTGGCAGAACTGGGACTCAAACCCAGGCAGTTGGACTCCCTAGCCCAGGCTATGAAGGGCCACCACGTGCCTCTTCCCACTGGCCTGGGAAGAGGCTGCGCTCAGCTGGCTGGGGAGGGCCAGGGCCTGGGGCCTGGGGCTGGGACTGGGGCTGGACTCGGCTGCTTGCTCAGCCAGGCAGTGTCCTGTCCCAGCCTTGCCTGCAGTTGTCTGCCTTGGGTGGTTTGACCCTGGCCCCAAATAATTCAAGCTGACTTTAGAACCTCTTTCCTAGGCGTGGTGCCACCCACCACAGTCAACAGCTCTAGACAATATGCAGCACATCCACTGATAGCTCTTGCAAGTCTGGAGGCTTACTGTGGCGCAGAAGGGAATACACCTGCAGCAGGTGGAGACACGGGAGGATTTCAGTCGACCTCCCAGCCAGGACTGGGTCCACACCTTAGCCATAAGATGCCTTACTCGCCTGGGCACCTTGCATCTGGATTTCCTTTTGTTTCTTCCTTCAGCTTCTGACATTGCAGGATCTGGAAAGAGACCGAACTGTGTCTAATCTGCTTCATGGTGTGTCAGCTTCAGCGGGCATGACTGACCGTGTGTGCTGTTTCCACTTTACAAGCTGCAAGAGGCCATCGCCCCAGTTCAGGCTGTGGTCTGCAGGACCTCCATCTGCTGTGTATCAGAAGAAGCTGCCAAGTCCTGGCCAGTGACTCTGAAGCACCAGGCCACCTCCCTCTTGGGGACCCCTCCTACCCCACTGCCCTCGCCTGCCCTTGGGGTGCTCTGGCCTGGCATGTTTTTTATGTCACGGTCGTCAGACTGCTTTCCTGCCAGCTCAGATGGACAGATGATTTCATTGGCATCTGGGGAGAAAACAGGGTGGACTTGGCATCCACATTTGACTACAGAGTTAAGTGGGATGATAAGGTCTTGAAGCCGAGGGTAAGATTTGGTTGGCTTGAGCATCTTGGAGGGTGTTAAAAAAGAAGAAGAAGAAATGTTCTTGCGTGACTAACAGATTGAAAAGTGTTCATTGGATTTGTCAAATAGGAGACTGTCAGTGGCCTGGGTGAGAGTAGTTTCAGGAAATACTGGACGTTAACTAATGGGTGAGGAAGGAGGAGACACAAGGGTCTTGGCCGAGGCCCTGTCTTGCCTTTTGAGGGCAGGGCTGGCACTGACCCACAGTGGGACTGGGAGATCTGACCAGGCTCTTCCCTGCAGCTCTGCTGCAGCTGAGGTCATCAGAGGCAGACCCGGTGCCACAGCTCAGGAGTTGGACGGCCAAGGCTCAGGAGAATCTGTGTGCTGGCTGGGAAAGTTGCAACGGCATCATCCTGGATCAAAGATGGTGCTCCAGTGCCTGGTCTTCACAGGCTTTGGGGGTGGGCTGGGGTGCAGGTCCCAGGTGGTCACAGGGATTGTGGTCATCCTGGAAGAGGGGCTGAAACTAGACCAGGCTTGAGGGTGCAGAGGAAGCAAGACAGAGAGAGGGAGAGGAGAAAGAGGACAAGATGGTGGACCATGGTGCTGAGGAGGTGGGGGCGGTGGTGGTGTGCAGCTAAGGTGGGGGAGGACATTCTTCCTTTGTGACCAGGAGATCTGAGGCAGCAGGGTGTCACTTCCTGGACTGTGCTCCACAAGAGCATGTCATTTATCTTCAGGAGCCCAGGATAAGGAGAGTCTCAGTAATAGTTTCTGACATCATTTAGGTTGCATTTTGCTTCAAGAAACAGAAATCTCCATGAGAAAATGACTTAATTAAGAAGGCAATATCATTTCACACAATGAGAAGTCCCACATAACACTTGTCACATCTCCTTAGCAAAAAAGATTTTTCACACATGCCTAAAACAGTCCTAGCATGGAAAATGGGAACTCTGTGGGAGATCCCAGCCCTGGGGAAGAGGGCACATGCCTAGACCCCATCAGTTGTGTCAGCAAGGAGATGTGGCGGGGGGGAATTCATCCAGCACCAAGGAGCCCAATGCAGGCTCTCCCATGGATGCACGGGGAGATCTCCATGTATGGCACACATGCCAAAATACCTACCACCCCCTCTGTTCGGAGCCTACTTGGCTTCCAGGCCCTTACCTCTGTGTCATCCTGTGCCAGGGCACTAGCCGCTGGCCTCCTAGTCCTCTCTGCCTGGCTTACCCCTAGCTATTCTTTAAACCTCAACTTAGAAGTCGTTTGTCAGCCCAGCTATCCCTGGTCCCCAAGTCTGGGCTGATACACTCTTACAGTGCCCTTCAAAGCAAAGAGGGTATCTTTTCTGTTGTCCTGTAGGTCCCATGAGGACAAGAACTATGCCCTGTGACCGCTTGACCCCAATGCTTTGCACGGTACCTAGCACACAGAAGGTGTTCCATAAATATTTTGTCAAATTTCAATGGATAGTGGATGGTGAGTGGATATGAGTGGAAAAATAAATATTTACATGAAAGAATGAAAATTCTTAGAGATGAATGAGTGGTTGGGTGGATGGATGAGTTATACATATGGAGGTGGGTGGGTGGGTGGGTGGTATATTGATGGGTGGGTATGCAATGGCTGCGTGGAGGAGTAGAGAGGTGGATGAATGGGTGGGTGGATGGGTGGTATGGATAGGTGATGATGTATGTTGGGTACACTGTAGGGTGGGTATAGATGGGCAAAAGGAGGAATGGGCAGACGGGTGTGTGCCTGCTGTCCGAGTCTACCACAGGGTGGAGCCCTGCACCAGTTTGAATCCCGGGTCCTGGTGAATGCCCTTTCTGCCCAAAGGGGACTTTCAAAAGAGGAACCTTTTGTCCTAGGTAGTGGTGAAAGGTTCCCGGGTGACGCAGGCTTGTAAACAAGTTGAAAAGATGCTGCCCTGCAGGCTCACGTCAAGCGGGACCGGGCAAACAGTGCCACCGCGACCTTGGCTCGGGTGCCCGAGGCCATGTCCGGCTGTTCCCAGTGCTAGTGTGAGCTGAGCTTGGGGACAGGAGTCCTGCTTCCCGTTCCTGTGTGGTCGCAGACGAGAACGCATCCACCCCTTCCCGGGGCCACAGCGTCCCGGTTGGGGACCCCGAAGACGCCTGCCTTGAATTGCTGCACAAAGTTGCAGGGAGATGTTGGGGCAGGCGGGATGTCTCAAAGCCTATGCAGTTCCTTTTGCCCACATACGAACACACATTATCCTAAGCCGCCTGACTTCAAACCTAATGGGAAATCTACATCCTAGCAAACTCCAACCCAGCGCCGTTCATCCTAGCCTTGGCTCCATCAGAATCTTAATTTATTCCAGATCCTGATTCAGGCTCACATTTTGATCCTCCCCACTAACCCAAGGAGTCTTTACCCCACCTTTGCTGGGCCTTTTAGGGCAAACCCCATTCCAAACCCCAAACCCCCACCTTCTGACTAATCAGAGCACCCTTTAAACCAATAGTAATAAAACTTAATATGAACCACCTCCAAAACCCACCATGGATTCATAGATGCTTCAAAACACTGAAGAAATAAGACAAATGCACAATACATTGTCGGTGCCAATTCACTTCCACCCACGTGGTGGTGTAGGAAAGTGCTAGCTACCTCAACATTTACCAATGCCAAGTATTATCACTCTTTCTCTTTTTTGTCAATTTGATGGGGAGAAAAATCCCAAGTATTTTAATTTGCATTTTTGAAGGACTTAACTGCAACTTCCCCCAACAACTATTTATTAAATATTAATCGACATTTATTTAAGCCATTTGATAAAAACCAGCACTTCCTTGCCCCATGACACCCCTCCCCTCTTCTCAACTCTTCTGGCTGTTTCTGCTGGTATATGTCTTCATTTTTGTAAATAATATGTTTAAACTTCAGTCTCTCGATTGAATTGTAGATAAATATCAGTTGACTCCCTGTCACGGGAGGTGGAGATTGAACATCCCATGCAACCTTGGGTTCTTTTCCTCAGCTTCCCAGTGTGGTTGACTGAGGGTTTGAGAACCCATATTTCTTTGTCCTACTATGACCACATTAGTGTTGCTCCCTTCTGACACTTCCCTGTACAATGTTTGCTATTCTCCCTGAAATTAAACACGCTGTTTTCCACTTTCTTAGTTTTATCCATTTTTAAAATTATGGAATACAGGAATCATTTAGAAGAATGCATCATTTTATTTTATTTATTTATTTTTTAAAGATTTATTTATTTTGAGAGAGGGCGGGGGGAGGGGCAGAGGGAGAGAATCTCAAGCAGATTCCCCACTGAGCGTGGAGCCAGATGTGGGCCGATTGCAGGACCCTGAGATCATGATCTGAGCTGAAACCAAGAATCGGATGCCCAACTGACTGAGCCACCAGGCGCCCCAAGAATAGTTTTATTTAAAAAAAAAGAAGAACAAATATCCAGGCTAAGAACCAGAACTTTTCCAGTCTCTTAGAAATCCCTGGGGGTCCTCACCCTGACTTCTGTGATGTGCTTCACCTGGTTTGTTTAGTTTTATCATTCACGTGCATGTCCTTAGACACCAGCTTGTTTAGTCTTGCCTGGTGGTGAACATAGAAATGGGAGCATTTACCCTTGAGGACTTGCTTTTTTGCTCAGCACTGGGAGATTCGTCCACCTTGGCTCACGTGCATGTGGCCCATTCATTTTCATGGGTACACAGTAAGCATTTCATTGTAAGAATATAATGCAGTTGATCTATTTTACTGTTGTGGACATTGGGCTGTGTCTGGTTTTTTTCTTTTACAAACAATGCTTCCAAAACCAATTTGGTCTATGTCTCTTGATGCACAGATAGGAGAGTTTTTCTTGGGTGCACACTGAGGAGTAGAATTGCTGGGTCAGAAGACATGCATTTGTTCCATTTTCCTGGGTAATACCAAATTGTTTTCCAAAGTGGTCGCACCAATTTACACTCCATGAACAGGGAATTTAAGTTCCTTTTGATGTGTTTCCTTGCCAACACTCTGTATTATCAGGCTTTTAAATGCCAGTCTGATCCGCACTGTTATCATGGCCAGATAGTATCTGTTTGCACATAGGCCCGTGTTCAGGCTCTATTTTATTCAATCGATCTTTCTGTCATCTCTTCCATTCTATATGTCATGATCACAAACTCTTTGCACTCTAAATATCATTTCCTAATGGACAAACACTCTCTGAGAGAAAGTCACAGGATGTAAACTTTTGAGAATTTCCAGACATTCACCTGATCGATAGTTTTGCTGGGTACAGAATTCTAGGTGGGAATGATTTTTTCCTTCTGGGATGTTGAAGGCATTTTGTAGCCCCTTGCGACATAATATTTCCCCAAAATAGCCAGAGCAATATGTCTAGTCCCACATGCACTTCTAGAAACCGGCAACTGTCTATCAGGATACAGACACCATTTCTTACCCCCTGAGCCTGGGGGACTGCGTAGCTGCCTTGACAAATCTGGCCGGAGTAAGCCTGTATGATTTTCCAGGTTCCATTATAAAAGATGATAGGGTTTCTTCCTGGCTCTCTTTTCAGGACGCTCAGCCCTGGAAACCAGCGCCCATGTGCTGAGGAAGTCCTGGCCACATGGAGAAGGCATGTGTGGGTGTCCTGGCTGGTAGCCAGCTAAGACTTCAGCCAAGAATTTGCATCAATTCCCAGCAATATGACGAGTAATCTTTCAGATCATTTCAGCCCCCAGACTTTGAATCACCCCAGCTGATGCCAAGTGGAGCAGAAGTATACTATCCCTACCAAGGCCTACTCAAATTGAAGATTTCTGAGTAAAATAAATGTGGTCATTGTTTTAAGCCACTAAGTTTTGCGGTATTTGTTATGTATCCAATGCAACCAGAATTCCTTTCTGTATGCCAGCTCCTGGCTAAGCAGGCCCTGAGGATGAGCAGGCTATTCCCTGCACCTAAGGAGATCATAATATAGTCAATTCAATTTTAAAAGTTTTAAACTTCATGGAAGAGAGAGTGAGTAACCCACACAACCCCCAGTGCTTTGACATTTGTTCCTGTTTATAGCAGTGTACTCAGACTCGGCAGTGCATTGCCCTACTGAAGAGTAGAAGGCCCAGGGGTAAGTCTGCTTCTCCGAGGAAGTTGGACCAGATTTTGCTAGTGACGAGGAGGTGACAAGAAGTTGGAGAGCAATGCACTGCAACACTGTTGCCCGTGCTGGCCCCTCTGCAGTGCGGAGGCCCAGTACACGCCTCCCTCTGTCCACTCCAAGTCTGGCACCCCGGGGGGGCCATAAGCAAGCAGAGCTCTTCCCTCCTAAGCGTGGACTGGAGCAGGAATTTAGGAAAGGTCTGTTGAACTGGGCTAGAGAGCCACGCTCCTAAGACTTCAGGAGGCAGTGTTCCGACATGGGCAGCAGGCAGAGATTCTGGGCTCTGGAACGAGGGCAGCTTAGCAACAGCCAGAAAGGCCATCATTCCCCACAGTCACTCCTGCCACAGATGAAGCAGAAGGGGGAGGTCCCCTTAGGGAAGAGTGTGGCTGCTGTGAAGGGAGTCCTGGTGAAGCCAGAATGGGGCATACGGGCACAGGAACCCCCCCGACCGCCCGTCCGGGAGCACGCAGGCATGAGCTGCTGACAGCCGGGGCCTTCTCTGCCCTGGTTGTAGGCGGTGGGTTGGAGCCAGGCAGGTGCTGGTGAGGGTTGAGATGAGGCCTTGGAATGACCCCTGGGGGTGGCCCCAGACTGAGCAGTGTGACATTATTCCTTCAATCATTCAAGAAAAACTTACTGAGCGTTCATCACCGCCAGGCACGATGGGAACGCAGCAAAGAACAAAAGAAGTGAAAATCCCTCCCCTCAAAGAGCTAACCTTCTCATGGAGAAAGAGAGACAATGCATAAGCAGCCCAACAGGCAGCTGGCCACATGGAGAAGAGACAATGGCGAGGAAAAACCCTGGTGAGGGGACTGGGGAGGGCTGGTGGAGGTGGGGAGTTGTTACTTTGTACCGAGTGGTCCTCGGGGGCCTTCCAGGAAAGGGGACTTTGGCACAGCGACCTGGAGACGGTGCTGGCATGAGTCAACCTCTTCTGGGAGACCTGAGTCCAGGAGAGGGCCAGTGTGGGCAAACCCTGAGGGGGAGCAGGATGGAGGAGTGGAGGGAGGACGGGCAGTGCTTAGGGTGCAGAGCAAGCGAGGGGGAGGGTGGCGGCAGGGCCTTGCAGCTCATTGCCTGGGCTTTCACCTCCCTAGGTGAAGTGGGAAGCCGTTGGTGGGCTCTGGACAGAGGAAGATGTGTGCTGACTCATGCTTTAGGAGAGTCCTTGTGGCTGCTGCATTGGGAAGAGATAGAGCGGTAGGGTCCTGGATACACTGTGAGCACGTTGCTGGATGCTGGTCATGAGAAAGAGAAGCCAGGGAGGATCTGATTTTGGCCTGAGCACCTGGTGAGTGACCTCTGGGTGATGGAGGAGTTCTCATTCCCCGCCTGGGCTGGCCCGGCACTCAGCCACACTGCAGCTCGTCCCTGCATTCCCCCCCTGAGCTCATATTTACTGTTTTCAGCAGTGCGGGAGAGAAAGCTGACTCAGATTTGTTCAGTCATTTATTCTCTCAGCAAACATTTATTGAGCTCTTGCTATGTGCCGGACACATGGTAGGAGCTGGAAGTCTGTAGTGGTCTCTGTCCCCATGGAGCGCACAGCCCCTCAGAGCAGAGAGGTGTGGATCAGGTGAAGATGGGCACAGGGAGTAAGCAAAGGGCTTCGTGGGACAGGAGAAGCACCAGAGGGAGGCCCCTCCACTCCACCAGGAGGCAGGCCAGTGCGAGCTGGAGAGGATGAGGCTGGGAGGAGGAGGGCAGAGACGTGACAGGGATGACACACCAGGAGGATCAGAGGAGCAGGGACGGCGACACCCGGGAGCTTACACGGAGGGCAGGGCAGTCCAAGCAGCCTTCTTACAGAACAGTTGTTTAAGACCAAGTTGAAAGGCCGAGAAGGAGCCCAGGCGGCAGGTCAGGGTGCAGCAAGACCCAGAGGGGCAGTGGCCCGTGTGAGAGACCAGAGAGACCAGGGTGAAGCAAGACCCAAGCCTGACCAAGTGGCCCGTGTGAGAGGTCAGGAAGGCCCTGGGGAGCTCCGGGAACTACCCTGAAGTGTCAGTCAGCTCTTGCTCTGTAACAAACCACCCTCAAATGGAGCACTTGAAACCACAGCCTCTGATTTTGCTGGTGAGTCTGTGGATCAGCAGCTTGGGCTGGGCTCTGTTGAGTGGTCCTCCACCTGCACTTGGCTGGGCTCACTCCTGTGTCTGAGGTCAGTGGGCAGGTTGTTGGAGCCGGGGGCCTTGGGGGGCCTTGGGTGAGAGAGGGCTCCCCACTGCCCCCCTGTGGGCTAGCTTGGGCAGCTGGGCAGGGGTGTGTGTGCAAGGTGCAAGGCCTAGGACGCCCAGGCTCAGAGCAGCACGACCTCACTGCTGCCACTTTCTGTGGAACAGGGTGAGTAGCAGCCCAGCCCAGACTCGAAGGATAAAGAAGCACTCCATGTCCGACAGGAGGACCTGGAGGGATGTCGTTGTACCTGCTGTGGTCGGTGGGCTGGACTCAAGAGTGAGGAAGGGTGTGGGGTGGCTGCAGGGGGCAGAGTCTGTGTTGTGCAAGGGGAAACCGCTTAACTAGGGACTTACTCTCATGCACATCTTTCCAAAGTGGGAATGGATTGGAGCAGACAAGAGTAGATGTGGGAAGAGGCCTTGTGGATGAGAGGCAGGTGGTATGGACAAAGTCCCAGGGACTGGGGATGGAGAGGCAGAAAGAGAATCTACAGGACTAAGTGATGGTCAGCCGTGGGGCTGGGAAGAGGGTGTTGGGGGTGACCTTTCAGGATCTGGACCCCAGAGTTCCCTGCCCAGATGACTTGGAGCCTGCTCCCAGGCCCGACCCTCCCAAAGGGACACTGCATCACAGGCCCGTTAGGCCTAGGAGGGGAAGGGTGCTGTTTGTGGAGGCGGGCGTGGGTGTGGACAGAGCTTGGGCCCCGGTGTCCATGCAGGCATGAGTGCACTAGACCCTGAGACTCGGGATGGAGCCAGGAAGGGAGGAGAAGCAGGTGGATGGTGGCTCCATTTCCCTCTCACCCCGAGTTCCACAAATACTAGGGGTGAGCCTGCTGGGGTCGGGGAGAGGAATAACCGAGGGCTGGTGGTGTCTCAGAGACACTCACGTGGAGATGCAGACAGGTGACTGGATTCAAAAGACCGGAATTCAGGGGAGAGATCCCAGCAGGAGATAGAAATTTGAAAGTCACTGGCAAAAAGATGGAATACAAGCCACACACACAGATGGAGTCACCGGGAAAAGACTGATCCCAGGGCGTAGTATGATTCTGAAGGTTTGTTGAATTTTGATGAGAGGGAAAGAAAAAAGTTCCTCCCCTCAGAATGAATAGGCTGCTTGACACAGGAGTATAAGAAAATGGCTGATTTCATTGCTGATGAGATAAAGAAGGCCTCAAATCCATGGCCCGTGGGCAAGGAGGATGAAAGGAAAAGAAAAATCTACACAACCAAGCCGTAGTACTGGAACAGCGATGGGATCTGTGGACACGGGAGAGTACTTGACAAGCCTCCAGAAAGCAGGAGTCAGAGGCTTGGCGACCCGTGCACGAACAGCAGAGTTCCTCTTCAGGGCAAGACACATAGCTGCGATACACAAGCCAACGGCCTGGAGCAGAGGAAGAAGCAAGGCAGGATGGAAACCCATGTGGATTAGCGTCTACCCACTAATAAACTAAACTAGACAAACCTGAAAACTCAGCGGCCACATACAGCTGGGACATTTGTATGTAATTGCAGAACCATGCCAAGCCCCCAGAAGCTTCCCGGCTGAAAATAGAAATTACTTAAAAGACTTATGAGCTTCAAAATGTACTCCTGAGAAACAGTCCTGAGTGACAGAAACTCTCCAGGGGGAAGAATTAGACAAAAGGGTTTTATGACCAGCTTGAGCTGCGTCCCGACAGGGAGCTTCTGTGGCCTGCAGCTGTGGTTCTGTCTCAGCCCGCTGCCCCTGGGCCAAGAGGGCTTCTCTTGGTGCTGGCGTTTTCCTTCTCTATTTCCCAGGTGAGGAAACTGAGGCCCAGATAGGGCCAGACATGTGAAGGCCACACAACTGGCAGGTCTGTGTGTCTGGGGCCTCGCCCCCTACATCGTTCTGCCTTCCCCAGTGGTCAGTATCCCCTAGAGGCCCTTAATGCAGGCCCCACTCCGTGACCCAGCATCCTTCTGGTGACCACTGCTCTTGGCTCCTGTCAATGGCTCCTCCCAGGCCCTGGGAGCCAGGCTCCCCGTACCTCTGGTCCCCTGTCCAGCCCTGCCTGCCCGCTCTGGTGGGCAGCCGGTTCCACCCCCAGTAGATGACAACGCTTCCACCCCCTCATCGAGCCATGCTCTGTGCCAGGTAACTATTGTCACGGCTCCCATTCCTCACAAGGTAGGATGGCGATTCGGGGAAGTCGAGGGCCTTGCTTGAGTTTCCACCTCCAGTGAGGATGCAGGTGGGACTGCCTGGGGTCAGACCCAAGCCTGACTTCTTGCCCATCTGCTGGCTCACCTCTCTGACAAGGGCTCAGTGTTCTATTTTCTTTACAAACATCTTCCTTCAGGGTGAGGGTTGTGACTTTTTTGTCCAAAACATGTGGCTCTTCGAGAGCCTGGGCTCTGGCTTCAGGTGACTTGAATTCAAATCTGGCCTCTGCCATCTTTGAGCTGTGTGACCTGGGGTGAGTTCCTCTACTTCTCTGTGCCTTGGTGTCCTTATCTATCCAACAGGACCGTGAGTGCTGCAGCTCTATAAGGCCATGTGAGCATTAAATGGATTAATACTGGCAAAGCACTTGCAACAGAGCCTGGCCCGGGCTAAGCTCTTGGTCCCACTGAGAGTCCTGCTGGCTTCACACGGTGGCTGATGCTCGGCCTCAGACATCCTTATCCAGTTTACAGGAAGAGTCTCCAGGTGGTCTCCTGGCTTCTACCTCACCCAACCTCACCCCTCTCCTTTGACTCTCCCCGTGTTGCTGTGGCCACCTTGATTTCTCAACTACACCAGGCCAGCTGCCTCAGGACCTTTGCACTGTTTCCTCTTCCCTTCACCTTTGAGACTGCTGTCACTTTCTCAACAAGCCCTGGTCCTACTGGCCTGTTCCACATTGCAGCCTGCATCTCCGGCCTGAACACATCACTTGGCTCCACTTCTTATTTCTCCACAGTATATCTCTCTTCTGACCTTCTCTATCATTTTCTGTCTGAGTCTTTCTGCTGTCTGTTTTCTATCTTCCTCCAATAGACTACAAGCTCCTCGAGGACAGAAATCTTTGCCTATGTGTTTGCTGACGTGGCTCAAATGCCCAGAGAGTAGCTGACACCCAGCAGGGATGAGTAATGCTGACAGAACTGGGGATGTTCTTGAGTGTCCTTGCATGGAAGGGGGAGGCCTGCACCTCAGACCCCACACTGCCTGACTGCCATGTGCCCAGACCACAATCCGAATCAGACTTCTGTGGCCCTAGCTGTTCTCGCCCCTGAATTTTCCTGGCTACACGCGCAGTGCTGTATGGGAAACATTTGCTTTTGCAAGAAGTGGCCAGAGGCATGGAAAAAAGCCCCAGCGAGGACCAGGACCAGCTAAAGACCCATTTCCAGGCAGCTGAAGAGGCCTTGATCCTGAGGATGGAGGATGGCCTGAGGTTGGGTGGGGGTAGTTGGGAGAAGAAGATGCCAGAAGATTCGGAGACTGGATGCCCTGGCAGAGGCCTCCAGTTACCCTAAATATAGAGGCCGGGCCCTGTAGGGTTGAGACAGTGATCCCCCCCTCCCTAGCCCACAAGAGGAATGGGAGCTGGCAGGGCTGATGGTAGGCAAAAGGGTTAGGAGTCCGTTAACCCAATTTTGCCTTCCCCCCCCCCTTTTTTTAATTTAAGTAGGCTCCGTGGCCAGCACGGAGCCCAGCGTGGGGCTTGAACTCACGACCCTGAGATCAAGACCTGAGCCGAGATCAAGAATCGGAGGTTTAACAGACCGAGCCACCCAGGAGCCCCTGACTCTTTGATTCTCTTGTCAAAAGTCAATGAGATATGAGATACCTTGCAGATATTAACCCAACTTTTAAAATGCAAATACCCTTAGGGCGCCTGGGTGGCTTGGCTGGTTGAGTGTCCGACTCTTGATTTTGGCTCTGGTGGTGATCTCAGGGTCCTGGGATTGAGCCCTGTGTTGGGGTCCACACTCAGCAGGGAGTCTTGCTTGAGGGTTCTCTCCCTCTGCCCCTCCCGCCTCATGCTCTTTCTCTCTCTAGAATAAATAAAAAAATCTTTTAAAAAAATACAAATACCCTTGACCTGACCCCCCTCCTCCCCTTACCCTGCCCAGCCCATTATGCTACAGGAGGGGCTGACCGTGAATGGTGAGTCATATGCACAGTGGAACTGTCTGAGATGTCAGGGAATGTCCCCTGTGTCCATATGGAGCAGCCTCAGGGAGATTATTAAGGATCATGTGTATGCGTGCGCACGTGTGTGTGTGTGTTAGAATCCACGTTGTATATTAAAGATGGCCATCCTTTTCTGCTGAACGTATCCGTAGAAATGGCCACAGAGTGGCCTCTGGGAAGGGCGCTGTGGGAGGGGGTGGCAGTAGGAGGGACTCTGGATCTTCACTGAACACCATTTTCTACCTTTGGCTTATTTGCTGTGAGCGTAAATTACATAGAAGAATCCGCTACACTGAAAACAAACATAGGCGGCTATGGTTCCAGCAGTGGGCACGCTGGGCACTCTCTCATCCACGGTACCAGACTTCCATTCCCTAGCGTTCTACTCGGGCCTCAGCTCAGGGCAGGCACGTGGTGTGTTCTGTTTTGAACCAGGGAGAGCCCACTCCTAAGTCACTGGGAAGCAGGCTGAGAGAATGCAGCAGTCCTGGGCCACATGAGCCCAGGACCTTGGATCCAGGGCTGATGGCAGGATAGGAAGGGCCCTGCACAACTTCCCACTGCCCTCGGCTGGAAGCAAGCCTTTCCGGCTGGCCTGCTTACCTCCACTTCACTACCTGTGCTCATCATGCTATGTACATACTGGCCTTCTCTCTGTCTCACCTCAGTGCCTTAGCACGTGCCGAGCTCTTGGCTAGCAATGCTCATGTGTGACTCTGAGCCTGGCTGGGCGCTTCCATGTAAATGCCCCAAAGGAAGCCTGTCTTGATATGGCAGTATCACTATACCTCCTGCTCCCCTTTTTTCCTGCCTCCGTCTACGGCTGATTTTCTTCATCCACATTACAGGGAGGCTCCCTTCCTGACAGGTATTTATGTAAGTGCCTGGAGCGTGAGCTATGTGGGTCTTGTCTCCTACCTTCTCCTCAGCACCCAGCACACAGCCTGCACTTGGTAGCTACCACGCACACCTTTTCTTTCCTTTCCCTTTTGATAGTATCCTTTTCTTTGGCTTTTGTTCTTAACAACGCTGATTACACCTTACTGAAAGGATCCCATGACCCGCGACTGGGTTCTAACTTGTAGCTGGACAGAGGGATAAAGATGCCTGCAAACGACCGTGGAGGGAAGGTGTGCCATGCAGGCCTGCCTCTGTCCCTGCCCCTTCCCTCCCCTTCCCTGAGCACGTGCCCCTTCCCTGAGCATATAATCGGAGATAATGGAATGTCACACATCTCCCTTCATCCCGCTGGGTTGAGTTGGACCCCCACCCCAAATACCATCCCAGGCTGAGCTCTGCCGCCATTGTTGTTTGCCTTCACCTTCAGAATATTCCAGCATGATCCCCCTTAACCGAAATGACACACCTAGGTGGTGACACACCCAGGATGCCCTGGAATGGATGGACCAGCCAGGAAAATATTTAACAGGGGGTGAGCTGCCCTGTCCCGACCCCCAGGGGTCCCCTGCTCCCAGCCATGCCTCTGCCCTGGGCTGCCAGTAACAGAGGGAAGCACCTCACACAGCCAGCTCTGCCCCGGCATTCTGACCAGTGGCGGCCTGCATCCTCCAGCGGGCAGATACTCTGAGTGTCCTCCCTGCTCTCAACGCCTGTGTTGAGCAGGGCTCAGCTCCAGGCCTTGTGCCTTGACATCTGCTCTCTCCACTCCACCCCACCCTGTTCGCTCCACCACAGTTTTTCATTTGTGTTTTTCCATGAGCCTTCAAAGAGGAAACAAAACCTTTTCCTTACCGGAGCCCAATCCAATCCCTGGCTAGTCCAGAGGTTCCACCACCCTTATTCCTAAAGCCATTTGCATTTCCTCTGCCACTACTTGGTCAGAGCCAGCACCATCTCCCGCCGGGCTCCTCCACTCCCATCTGTCTCCTCCTCAGTGGCCACTCTCCACTCACCACCCCCCTTCTCTGCCCTCTGCCTAGTCCTGGAGGCTGACCTTGCACCTCACCGGGGCGCCTTTGCGGTTCGGCCAATAGGAGGCGCTGCAGGCAATGGGAGGCGGGAGCAGAGAGGGGTAAGGAGCTTTCCCCAGCGCCAGGGTTCTGACCTGCTGCTGGCCCCTGTCTTCCCACTCCAGTCCTCCGGCTCCTTCTGGCCTTGGTGGGAGTCACTGTTTGCTGCACTGCCCCTCACCTGCCCCACCTCTGTCAAGAGCCCTATCATTGATTCAAGTATCACCCGTTTGAGTGCATTGTCTTGTCCCTCGGGGACACTGGTGGACTGATACGCCCCATACACTCCCTTTTGCATACAACAGCAGAACAGTCTTTTTAAAACCTAAATCTGGTCCAGTCTCTCTCTCCCCTGAGCACTTCAGTGGACTCCCATTGCTCTGAGAATACAAACACAAATCTTTATTACCATCGACAATAGTGCCTGTTAAATTGCCAGTTGCGGGCCCTTAGCGGGTCAGGAGGTTAATTGCATGGGTTGCATTTTTTTTTACTTTCTTTTTTCTCCTCGGTTTAATGACATGAGGGCAGAGTAGACCGAGTACAAAACACCAGCGCTCACTGCAGGGAGCCCAGGTTAGGTGATGGTGTGAGACTTTTGGTAACATGCAAGCTGGGTGAGCCAGAAGGTGATGTCTCTCTGTGGGTTGTGATGCCAAATGTTGGAATCACCGGACTTCCTTCACCTCCTCTCCACGCCTTGGCCTCATCCCCACATCTCCCTGGCTCCCAGCCTCTGCTTCATGTCAGTGCCTCAAACCCACAGGCTCTTTCCTGCCAGGGGCCTTGGCATTTGCTGTTCCTTTGGCCAGGATTGCCCTTCCCTTAGTTCTTCCCAAGAATTCCTTCTCACACCAATGTCACCTCCGAGAGGCCCTCTCAGGTTGGCCCACCTGGAGCAGCTTCCCTCTGTCTGTCGCCATCCTGGGACATGGGTGCATTAGAATCTCCATGAGGACATAAAAAGCTGTTGGGTGAGTATTATTAACTGTTCCCAGCACTTATTCTCATGAGTCGGTATGAGGTCCATTCCCTTGTCTCCTTGCTTATCTCCACTAGAATAGAAGCTCCCAGAAGGTAGGCCCTTGTCTCTTGCTAACTGCTGTATCCCCAGACCAGTGCAAGGCACTCAGTAAGTGCTCAATAAATGCCTGCCAAGTGAATGAATGGATGAACTGCTTCTGTAGCTGAGAACAGGGAGGTTTCAGGGAAGCGTCTCCCAGGATGCCTTGCATTTTTGACCACACTGGGTGGTGGCTGGACTCAGAGGAGTGGGTACAGGTGAGGATGGATGCAGGCCCTTGAGCCTTGGACCTCCGGCCCCTTGCCTGCCCCGGGCCATGCTCATGTCAGCGCTGACAGCCTGGAGGGTCTAACACTGCCCTGATCTAACAGCTAGAGCACCCTCCAGGTCCCTGCTCCAGGGGACAGGTCCCTTCATGTGGCAGAAAGCTCGAGGACATGCACCAGGAGAGCCTCCATCCTGCCTCTGCCATTTGCAGGCTGTCACCAGGCACCAGACCTCTTTGCAGCCCAGCCCCTCAGCTGAGAAATCAAGATGGGAAGTACTACTTATTGTGAGGACCGAGTGAGGCAATGTGCTCTGCAGCTGGCCCACTGAAAGACTGGTGTGCAGTTGGACCCTGATAATCAATCACTCCCAATTGTGGGGAGAGTGGGTGCCCGCCAGTCTGGCCAGCTGAAGAAGGATCTCCTTGTCCCATGATGGCTACCCATTACATGTCGGTGGTGGTTCCTGAAAGGCCATGGTCTGGGCCCCCTCACCTGGTACCTTCTTCTGAATCCTCTTCTGTGTAAGCAGATGCCTCTGGGAAAGCTGAGCAATGGCGCTTGGCCTCACAGAAGAGAGTTTTTCTCTTCTTGAAGGTGGGGGTTGTGTAAAAGGCCAGCACAGGACAGGAGAAAGTGCTGAAGCAGGGAGAGCATGCCGGGAAGGACAGGCCTCCAGGGATGGCCGGCCTTGATTTTTAGTCTCAGCACACACCCATCCGAGAAAGTTCCAACTGACCTCAAGAAGCTAATGAGAACATGGAACTGCGGCAGTGCTAGAAGGTGATGTGTCAGTATGCAGCAGGATGAAATGTGCCTACGCCATATGGAACCCTGGGAGAGAGGAATTTGCTAAACATGACACCAAAGACTAGAATCTGTAACTGCATTTGGTTACATCAATCTAAACAAATCTTATAACTCCAAGAACGTGGTTGGCCACATCCATGGTGCACAGAATGCAAGGAAAAGAAAGATCAGTATCACCATATGAAGTGGAGGATAGAAATAGGCACTTCACAAAGACATAAACCACCGGTAAGATATAAACATAGGAAAAAATTCAATTTCACCAATAATCCAAGAGATACAAATGCAAACAATGGCACTTTTTAAAAACCTGCCACACTGGCAAAAACTGCCCAACATTTTATCACTTTTTATAAAGTGCTAATACTCAGTACTGATGAGAATATGGAAAATGGGGATTGGGATTCACTGATGGCGGGGATCTAGATTAATATAATTTTTGGAGGACAAGTTGGTCAAAAGGTATCAAAACTAAAAATACCCTTTCATTCAGAAATCTCACTTTTCAAATTTATCTTTAAGAAATTGTAGGATAGGGGTCCCTGTGTGGCTCAGTCGGTTAAGCATCTGCCTTCAGTTCAGGTCATGATCTCAGGACTCTGGCTGGGATCGAGCCCCATGTCGGCTCTCTGCTCAGCAGAGACCCTACTTCTCTCTCTCCCCTGCTTCTCCTCTCTCTCGCTAGCTCTCTCTCAAATAAATACATAAAATCTTAAAAAAAAAGAAATAGTAGGATAAGTACACAAAGATGTATTGCAGTTTTGTATATGATAATGAAAAATTGGAGGATTGCTGTCTTGCACACCTGAAACTCATATAACACGTGTCAACTATACTTCAATAAAAATAAAGATGCATTATTTGTAAAAAATTTTTTTTGCTAAATAAATATAGAGTACTAGGCAACTTGTAAAAGTAACTGCTATTAATCTATCCTTATTGGTACAGAAGAAGTACACAATCTATTGTTCTGTTTGAAAAAGTCTCCAGAAGCAACCCATTGTCCATCGATGGATGAATGGATAAGCAAAATGTGATGGAATATGGTTCAGCCTTTAAAAGGAAGGAAAATGTGTCACAGGCTACAACATGGATCAACCTTGAGGACATTACGGTTCCTGAAAGAAGCCAGTCACAAGAGAACAAATCCTGCATGATTCCACTCACATGAGGTCCCTAGAGTCACCAGACTCACAGAGACAGAAAGTAGGGTGGTGGCTGCCAGGGGCTGGGGGAGGGGACTGAGGAGTTTGTGTTTAATGGGGATGGAGTTTCAGTTTGGGGAGATGAGAAATTTTGGAAAGAGACAGGGGGATGGCTGCACAACAATGTGAATTTACTTAATGCTGCAGAACTAAACACTTAAAGGGTTAGGAGGATTGATTTTATGTTATGGTTTTGTAGCCACAATTTTTAAAAAGTCTGTAAGATAGTATGTATGATGTGTTCCCATTTTTGTAATAAGCAAGAAAATGTTAACAATGATGGGATTATGAATGACTTTTTTTTTATACCTGTCTGTATTTTCTGATTTGGGGGCAGTGAGAACATTTACTATTATACGAATACAAAAACTATGAAAAAATAACATATGAAAAAGCTGCAAATTCAGATCATATTTTTTTCTGGTTATAAAAGTAGTATACGTTCATTGTGGAAAATCTGGAAAAGTAAAAAATAGAATGCTAAAAAAAGATCACTGAGCCTAGAGCCCAATGTGGGGCTCGATCTCAGGACAGAGATCATGATACTGAGGTCATGACCTGAGCCAAAAGCTTAACCATCTGAGTCACCCAGGTGCTCCTAAAAAGAGATCTCTTGTAATCCCATTATTCAATGTAAATACTTTTAAAAATCATGGATGTGAATACTTCTTTATGTATTTCTAATGTTTTCTATAAGCCTGTTTTTCTTTACATAATCATATATAGAATAATTCCCATGTAAATTTTGCATCCGCTTTTCTTTAACTTTTATCAGTAGTCTTGTGAAAACCCGATTTAAATTGATAAATAATATTCCACTGCACAGATGGGTTGTAGTTCATTATCACTCTCCTGTGGTTGGACATTCAGTGGTTTCTAAGTTTTCTCAGTTGTAAGCGATGCTGGAAAGAGCAAGCCTGTATATAAATCTGCCTACAGATCTGATCATTTCTTTGTAATCAGTTTCTACAAGTAGATTTACAGACTGAAAAGTGATGTGTATATTGCAAGGTTGCTTTGCTTTCTGCAAATGTACCTCTTTACACCAGTGTTAAAACTTAAAATGTCCTTGTCAGTTGGATGAAAAGGGTATCTTGTTTTAATTTGTGTTTCTTTGATCAGTTGTGAGGTTAGAAATTTCCCTGTGTGTGCACTGGCCACTTGCATGTTCTGTTTATGTCTTTTTCCCACTTGGGTCACCAGTGTCCTTATTGTGTTTTGAAATGAGGAATTTCCCCTTGAATCTGGCAAGTGGCTAGTGTCCGGCTGGTGTGGTGCCAGCCCACTGCACTCGTGTCCTCATGTTAAGTCCAGAATCCTTGCACAGACTGCCCCCCACCCGTGGAGCCTGCCCAGTGGGTGCCGATCAGCGGTCACTTCCCTGCCCCACTGCTGTTTCCTTGCTGGTGACAGCTAGTGATGCCCTGGACTAATAGGACAGGCACCCTGGAGAAAGGGGATGGGAACCTCAGGTTCAAGGTTGGCCTGAAAAACACATTAAACCTTGAGGACTTGGGCTCCTGGGTGGCTCAGATGGTTAAGAGTCTGCCTTCGGCTCAGGTCATGATCTCAGGGTCCTGGGATCGAGTCCCGCATCGGGCTCCCTGCTCCTTGGGAGCCTGCTTCTCCCTCTGCCTTTCTCTCTCGCTCTGTCTCTCATGAATAATAAAAAAAAAAATCTTTAAAAAAAAAAACAAAACCTTGAGGACTTTAACCAGGCGGGAGTGACTCAGTAACTCCCTGTTAGCCATCAACACCAACATCTGCCAGCCAGAGCGAGGGGGGGCCAGATTTCACTGGAAGGTGATCTTGATCGGTCTTCATTTCTGAATGTGAATTCAATTCCTTCCATTGAAACTATGGAATTTTTCTCTTAGAATTTCCATCTGTTGTTTTGGTTTGGTTCTCAGGATGTTCTGCTACTCGGTCTTGGTTGGGTTTTCATGAACACTATTAAGTATTACATTTTCAAACATTCTTTCTTGTTCTCTGAGTGCTCCTTTTTCATAGTGGTTGGTTCTTGTTTCTTGTTCACTATTCCCACGGTGATAACAACAGGGCTTATATCACAGAGACGTTGCATGGCGTAAGTGAAGTAGAAGTTGTAAGGCACTTAAATAGTGCCTGGCATATAGAAAATACTCATAAATGCTAGTCCTTAGCTCCATGCCTGGTATACAACAGGCACTTAATAAAAGTTACCTGATGTACTAGCACTGGTCCGTAGAAGCTTTTCCAAGAAAGCTTGGAAGCTTGGGGGCTGTGCCAATGGCCTGGGGTGCATTGCTTGCCACCCACCTCACAGCACAGTTGAGGGAACTACCCACTGCCCGATTTCACCTTTCCTTCCCCAAGGCTGTGCTCAACTGCCTCAGAAGACTATGGGTTCAGAGTCCTCCTCTCAGGACCCCTCCCAGGTTATTTTGGCTAAACTTTTGGTACAGAGGGAAAAACGGACCCACAGATTGTGGTGACTTGCTCTGATCTCTGCAGCTGGTTAGAGACAGGATGGGACTCCAGGTGTCTGGGTTCCCAGCCCCACTGGCAGAGAGACCCAAACCTGGCCACACAGCTCACGCCCCAACCTTGGTTTCTCCAGTGACCGTAGTCCCCTCTGCATGGTGGCCTTAAAGGGCAGGGGCTAGCCCCCCCTTCTTCTTTCCCCCTCCCATGATCTGGAGCCTGTATGTGCTGTGAGTCGTCACGTGGGAGAGGGTGGTGCCCGGCAGCGGAGGAGCCTGGGCCCCTGGTCCTGAGATGCCTGCTGCAGCAGCCCTGGCAGTCAGCAGCTCGGGCCGGTGTGTGGGCACAAGACGGACTCCTCTCTTATTTACAACACTGCCATTGTGAGTCTCTGAGCCACCGTCACATCTTTGTCCTGACCACCCCCCCCCACAGTGGGCTGGCATGCTTGGCTCAACCCCAGGCCTGTGCCACTTGGCTGTTGGTCACAACTTGGACCGCCAGAGCCAGGACCTTTGTTCCTTGCTCCCCTAGGCCTGCGTGCAGCGGGGTCTTCCAGAGGTGTAGGTGTAAGGACAGTAAGGACTGAGTGACAGAAGACACTGAAGCGGTCAATGCCAGGGGTCATGCCAGGGGTGTGCTTCAGCCGTTTCCTGCCCCAGGAATTGCTGGGCGCCTCCATGCCCCAACCTATCCCCTACAAGCTCCCACCTCACACCTTGTTAGGGGGCCCTCTCTCCAGGCCCTTCTCCCCATCCCAGGATCTCAAAGCCTTCTCCGGGAAGCTGAGGATACCTCCCAAATTCCTATTACCTTGTTCTCTTCTGGGTTGGAAGCCGGGCACCACCCCCTGCTGGCTGTGCGATCTCTAGTGAGGGACCTCTCCATGCCTCTGTCTCCCCATCTGTAAAATGGACCTGGAAGGAGGGGAGTGATGGGGATTAAACAAAGTCATCTGTTTAAAGAGATTAGCACAGTGCCGGGCACACTTCCCTGCCCTCCCCTTGCCCACTTGACTTTTGCCCAGGGGGCTCCTGCTCTTTCCAACCAAAGGGCCCATTAAGTTGTACCCTGTGCAGAGTTGCAGGGTGTCCCCAAGAGGAAGTCTTCCTTTTCTCCTGACTTGCTGGGCCAGCAGCCAGCTTGGACAATGATACTTCCCCATTCTGGTGTACAGGCAGCACCAAGAGGTTTGGTGGTCTGGTTAGTACTGCTGATCGCAGGGGCCTGCAGGATGGTGTGCGGTCTGAGATGGGGCCCCATCTCTGTGGCATCCAGCTGTTCTGGCTCCATCCTGTTTCCTTACGGAGAGATCATCTCTGAGTGGTGGGGCTGGCTGAGAGGAGTGGCAGGATGAAGCAGAAATGCATACGGTATCCTGGAGCCAGGCTTAGCAGTCTGGGAGAGAGAAAAAGGGTGAGGTAGGTCTCAATTCTGTTTTGTCTTTGCCACTGCATTTGCTGTGGACCTTGGGTGAATTGCTCCACCTCTCTGGCCTCAACTTTCTTTTCTGTAAAATGGGAAAAGTCAAGATGTGCAGGCTGTCGTCTGTGTCACAGCACTGTGCAGGGCACGCAGCAGACCCTCCCGTCTTCCATCTGTCTCAGAGCATGTAGCTGTGAAGTATCCAGCAAGGGCCTGGCACATGGTCACTCCAAGCTCTGTCTCTGCTCGCCTCATTAGCAGCCCGAGACTGGTCAGGCTGCTTGCGATCTCTTGCTATGAGGCAGATACGGTCTTCATCCCCTCATCTGTAGTGGTGGGCGTCAGCAGGAATTGGATGATGGGGGAGGGCTGGCCACTGTGATCGGCCCTGCTTCCACCGTGACATGACTCCTCAATGTGACCCTCACTGAGGGGGCCAAGAGCAGGGGTTCGAAGGCCTCCTCCACCTGCTGGCCTGGCTCGTGTGTCAGGGCTGCGACAAATGTCTACCTGATTTCAGCAGACTGCCAGCCAGTCCATGGCGGGGGGTTGGGGGGGTGGGGTGGGAGGCATTGCACTACATCCTCTCTACACTCCCTTACAGCTCTGGTGTGCACTGCCCAGGGTGGTGGCCACCAGCCACATGTCCTTATTGGACAACAGGGATACATGGAGCATTTCCTCCATCACAGAAAGTTCTAGTGGATAGTGCTGCTCTAGATTTCTATCCAACTTCACTCCACAAGGTGGGTGCTGCAGAGGGTCACTGAGGAGTCTAAGAAAAGGTCCAGCCCCCAACTCAATCACTTGCTCATCATACATTAATCAAGGACCTTCTAGGTGCCAGGAGGATGTTGTTGTTCCCTGCCTTCACAGAGCTTCCTGTTCCGCAGGTAGAGAAATGTCTGCCTAACAGAGACCCAAAGTAGTATTAGCTTAAACAAGCTGGACTAACTTTGGTTTTCTGTCCTTGAGAGCCCACGCTGGTGAGGCCATTTGGGCCTGTATTCCTTCACCTTGTCCTTGTCCATTGCCTTTGTCTGCCTACCAGCATTCCAGCCAACAGGGAGAAGGGAAGGGAACATGGAAGGAGGCACGCCCCTTCCCTTCACAGGGGAGCTCAGAATGGACAGTCATCACTTCTGCACACATCCCATTGGCCAGCTGCAAGGGAGGCTGCAGAATGCAAGCTTTCTTTGGGGCAATTCTGTGCTCTGCTGAAAACTGGGAGTTCTGGGAAGGGATGGATGAATATCTGAGGACTGGCTATCTTTGCTCCAGAGAGACAAGCATGAAATAAACGAACACATACATAAGTGGATAAACCTTGAAAAATGCTTTGAAGGAGAGGTACACGGTGTAGGGAAAACATATAAAGGAGGTCAAGAAGGTTTCTCTGGGGAAGTAACATCTGAGCAAACAGGAAAGAGGGGTAAGAGTGTTCACAACAAAGGCAGCAGTGGGTGCAAAGGCCCTGTGGTCAGAGGAAGTAGAAAACACTCAAGAAACTTAAGAAGGCTTGGTCTACAAAAGAACACACAGGAATCTTCTATGGTTAAGGTGGATGAAGTCCCTGAGAATGGCCCTCATAAGGGAACTACATGGAGGCTGGGAGTTAGAGATATTTACTCTGTTCCAGGCACTTTTCTAAGGTCTTTGTGTGTATTAATCCATTTAACCCTTGAAGAACCTATGAGATAGCTACCTGTACCAGTTCTCCACTTCTGAGAGCAGATGCCAAGAAGGGGTTAGACGTGTAAGAGGCTTGTGGGGAAGTGCCTGTGGAGGATGAGGGGAAGGAGGGAGGAGCAGGATCCAGTGAGGAGAGCCTTAGATCTAGGTCTGGGGCTGGCACCCGGGAAAGGAGAGGGGGAAGGAGAGGGAGAGCCTCAGACTGCAGGGCAGCTTGGAGACAACTTGGCCACCTCAGTAGAGAGCCCCAGAGCTCAGACTGCCTGTGGGGAGGCTGGGGGTCATGTAGGAGTGACTGGTTCCAGCACTAACATCCTTGCTTCTGCGTGAAGCTGCGCCAGATCCAGAGGTGGGGTTGCTGGAGGCTGTCAGTCAGCAAGGCTCCCCATGGCAGCCCTTTAAGAGGGATGGAGTAGGACACCTTCATGGCTGAGGCACTCCTGCGGTTGTCCCCATATTATAGGTATGGTGGCAAAGGAGAAACAACTCTCATAAAGTTACACAGCTCAGGGGTGGCAGAAGCAAGATTTGATCCCAGACGGGTCAGTCCAGAGTCCTTGCTCTGACCGAGGTGGAGCTGTCCAAGAGAAAGTGTTGCCTTCAGGTGGGACAAGTGGGAGCAAGTAGACACTTGGCAAGAGTTGTGTCACTCAGAGTCTTGAATGCCAGGGTAAGTGAGGGCATGGGTCTTTTACTGCAGTCATGGGGAGCTCTGGCTGGCCATCTGTATCCCGCCACGGGAGAGTGAAGTGGGTGGAGTGGGGACAGTGGCAGCAGGTGACTAGGTGGGAGGTGCTGGACATTGCCCTGGGTGAGGCAAGTTTGGGGATGGGGGGCACGCCGGGGGGTTAGGATGTTATTATACCCCCCCAGTTCATATGTTGAAATCCTAACCCCCCAGTACCTCAGAATATGTACTGTATTTGGAGATAGGGTCTTTAAGAGATAATTAGGGTAAAATGAGGTCATTGGGGTGCATGCTAATTCAATCTGACAGGTGTTCTTATTAAGAAGAGGAGACTAGGCCCCAGACATGCACAGAGGGACGACCATGTGAGGACTCATGGAGAAGACCACCATCCTTAGAAGGAACCAATCCTGCCGACACCTTGATCTCCGATTTTTGGCCTCCAGAACTGTGAGGAAATCACGTCTGTTGTTTAAGCCTGGTCTGTGTTGTTACAGCAGCCTGGGCTTACTAGTACACTGGGGCAGAGGGGCAGGCTTGATGGGTTTTCCTTGGGATGCTTTTGCTTTGTGATACCTGTGAGGTGCTCAATGGGAGATGTCTGGGGAAGATTTGGAGCTGAGGGGAGGTGGGGGAGGCCAGGGCTGCAGATGCTGTGGTTCAGGGATGTGACTTCTGTGACAACACATAGGGTCCGTGGGGCAGAATGGCAGAATTGGTGAGGCCCACAAGCATGCTCAGGACAGGCCCTGCCATCCGGCTGTGGGTGTCCTGGGCCCTGGCATGGGTTCAGCCATGTGCCCAAGGTCCCTCAGCCAGACCTCAGGAGCCCACCAGGGGCCGGACAGACCGAGGGGGCGGAGTGTGTGTGGGTCCCACTGTAATCGTGTCATTGGACACTGCATATGGTTCCCTGGGTGACACGCTCCCCCTCTGAGCAGCATTTCCTCATCTGTAGTGCTGACCTCTGGGATGTTGTGAAGACAAAATAAAGTGAGCATCTGTGAGGTGCTACGCAGGTGCTGCCATATTATTAACCTAAAACCTGGAGATATCCTGCAAGGAGGGTTGCCCCCAAACAGGCCTGAGGAGGAGTGATTTTGGGCGAGGATGGGGGCAGTAGGGGGCAGAGGTGTCCTGGGCAAAGGTTAGGAGAGGAGGGGCTTCGGAGCTCTGCCGGGCTCCTGAGAGGAGCTGCGCCCATTGGAAGGACACAGCCACCTGCCAGTGACCCGCAGGGGACAAATCCAACTGCATGTCCCCATATCCTCATCTGTTACCAGTGCCTTCCACCTGCCAAACCCTCTTGGAAACCAAAGGGCCCCTGTTGGTGGCCTGTGCAGATGAGCCTCTGGGGGCCCAGAGCAGGGGCAGAAGGGCAGAGAGGGATCTGGAGGGGCAAACACAGAATGTCTAGCACACAGGCATCATTTGCTTCCATTATAAACACAAAAGAGACAAGCATATTATTTACAATTAGGTCATATGAAAACCAAAACAGAAATGATGAGTGAGACTGAGGCCAAGTGGAATTTTCCTTTTTATTTCATGCCTTTCTGTGGTGCTTGAACACTGTAACAATGCACAGGTGTTATTTTTTAAAAGAATTATTCAAATGAATGGCCTGGATGTCAGTCCAAGAGGCTTGGGCTTGAATCTGTAAGGGGACAGAGAATCCACATCCTTGGTTCCATCGACAACGTGGCCACTGTTTCATAGGCTTTCTTGCATCTTCTGGCTGAGCACGCCCTGGAATGCCTCCTCTCCAAGGGGGCCTGGACACATGCTTCTCAGCAACGCTGCTCCCTCCTCCCCAGGTGGAGCTCCTTGCTGCCCTGGTAGAGCTTATTGATCTTCAGCACTGCCATCATCCTGCTGCCCTGGGGGCTGTGTGCCAGGGTTCCCATTTTGCAGCATTGCCCAGGGCTGATAACTGCCTCTTCCCAGTCTCTCTACTTCTCCAACGCCTCTTCCCATCTAGTACTGTATTTGCTCCTCCAACAAACCTGTGAGGCAATTAGGGTGGCACCCATTTTGTAGATGAGCAAACTGAGGTTCTGACAGGCAAACTAACTTGCCCAAAGCTTGCCCTAGAGGTAAGCCCCTCTTCTGTTGCTGGGGCCTTTGCAACAAGTCAGAGCTGGACAGGCGCCAGGGACTCAGGCCCTTTTCTATGCAAGATGATGTAGAAATAAGGAAGGAATTAATTTAGAGGGAAAGTATGTTAGAGGTTTTCATTGGTGTGAAGAGAAACGTCTCTTTTTCTTTATCATCTCTGTTTGGAAGAGCACTACCTGGCTTCCTTTTCTTCTTGGCAGGGAATTCCAGTAACAGATTCTCCCCACTACACTGGGAGAGGTACGGGCTGGGGTGAATTCAGTTACTTAGGCAGCCAGTGTCCCCATTCACTCATTCATTTGTTTATTTACTCAACACAAATTTACTGAGCCTCTACTACATTCTGAACACCATGCCAAGAAGGACAGACATGTGAGACCTGGTCTAGCCTGGAGGTGGGAAATAAGGTTTTTATGGGACTATGTCCTCTACAAAGTTAAATCTGAGCTGATATTAAAGGATGAAAGGAGTTAACCAGGTGCTGGAGGGAGGAGGAGAATGAACCAGAGAGGCACTCTGTACAAAGGCAGTCCTTGGAAACTAGCTTGGGGATGTTCTGGGTCTCTTTGAGGGGAAAACTGGTTTAATTTCTCTAATGACCAACTTCTTAACTCATTTGGGGTAGGTTCCTCAGTCCTGTTTAATTCTTCTCAGGCTGACCCTGTTTGCTTTAAGTCTTTCAGAAATTCATTAATTCAACAACTGAACACTTACTGTGTGCTTGGTGCTAGAGATATGAAGGGAACAAATGGACAGAAATCACTGCTTTGGTAGAGCTTGCATTCTACTGGAGGAGACCAAAAACAAACAAAATAAAATGTAAAATGTATAATACATTAGCAGGGAATAAATGCCAATAAAAAAGTTAAACAAGATAGGGAAATAGGAAAGAGTAGGGAGCGTGTTATATTGGGTGGTTAAGGCAGGGCTCCGTGAGAAGATAACATTTGAATAAAACCCTGAAGGAGGGGACAGAACCATGTAATTGGTGGGGAAACAGTCTGTATAGGCAGTGGGAACAGCACATTCAAGGGCCCTGGGGTAGGACTGTGCCTGGTATGTTTGAGGGACTGCAAGGAGGCCAGTGTGGCTGGAGTGATGTAAGCAAGGGGAAGGGAGTAGAGAGTATGGTCAGGGATGTAGGGCATTGCAGGCTGTGATAGCTGGGCGCCACTGGAATGTTCTGAGTCAAGGAGAGACATGATCTGACTCAGGTTGTAACAGGAGCATCTTGGCTGTCCTTCAGTTTTTTTTCCCCCCCACAGTTTTATTGAGACACAATTGACATGCAGCACTGTATGAGTTTAGTGTGTACAACATAATGGTTTGACTCACATATATTGTGAAATAATTACCACAGTAAGTTTAGTTAGTAGTCATCACCTCATATAGATATAAGGAAAAGTAAAAAAAGAAAAAAAAATTCCTTCTGGTGAGAACTCTTGGGATCCACTCTCTTAATAACTTTCCTGTATATCACACAGCAGTGCTGAATGTCCTATTGTACCTGACGACCCCACGGCTTATTTATCTTACACTTGGAAGTTTGTCCCTTTCTACCACTTTTCCAATTTCCTCTCCCCCGACCCTCTGTCTCTGGTGACCTGATCTCTTTTTCTGATCTCTTTTTCTATGAACGTTTTGATTTAGTTTTTAAGATTCCACACGGAAAAGTCACACAGTATTTATCACTCTCTGCTCTTCAATTTCTGACCACCTATGTGCCCAAGCTGCTAGGACGCATTTCATCTTCAACACCAGTGTCCTCCAAACCTGCCCGCCAAGCTGCGGTTTGGCTCCCGGTGGCAGCAGGCGCTGCATCCCTAGCCCTGACTGGGTGCACAGGGAGGACCACATGATCAGGGGCGAGCCCTGGCATGGACAAAGGAGCCCAGACCCACAGCATTCCAGAGAGCCCAGACAGCTCCTGGCCAGGCGTTCCTGCTCTGGCAGTGTACTGGGAGGGGAGCAGAGAAAATGCTCTCCACCTCCCAGGCCAGGAAGGGAAAGGATGTTAACTCCTTAGAAGGACCTCTGCCCACGTGTCCCTGGGTTGCCTAGAAGATGCCGGCCCTGGAGCAGACAGACAGGCTCTGCCTCACCTCCCCCCGTCCTTACCCGCTGAGTGACCAGGGGAGGACCGCGGCCCCCCAGAGTCCGTTTCTTCATCTGTAAATGCTTGGCTGAGAATCCCACAGGAGTGTGGGGGAAAGGGCCTCGTAGCAGGGTGCCTGGCACCCTCGGCTCACTAGTACTTCTTGGGCAAGTCACTCTGAGCCTCCCTCTTCCCACCTCTGAGTGGAATGCCAACGCGTCCCGGGACTGCTGCGGACTACAACAGCCTGGGCACGGCCTTTGTAGCCTGTGGAGCACTGCTCTGTCTTCAGGAGGGTGGCCCAAACACGTGGTGTCAGTGATCTGAAGCAGGGGTCAAACGCCCTCAGCCCTTCTGGGAGGCCGGGGAGGCAGCGCCGAGAGCGCGCACTTTCCGCAGGGGGTCACCGTGATTGCTCAGCAGAAAGACCATACCGTATTTCTCCAACAATACGTTCCCTAAGGCAAGTCCCCGACTTTCTCCGGCTCTCAGTGGGATACACAGCGGCCGGTACCGGGCTCGAGGTGGGAGTGGGGGTGGAGGGCAGACCTGGCCCGGGCGGCCCCAGGGCCCCCGCCTGGGCCCCGACTTCGGGACAATCTCAGGCCTTGGGGCAGGGCCCGAGGCCCGTCTCACGTTCTCACCTGGGGACCGCGCTTCAGAAGCGTCTCCCGCGGACTCCGCAAACCCACGGCCGTGCTGGGGGGAGGGGAAGTGGCTGGGGACCGCGGGCCGCGCGGGGCTGGTGGCTCCCGGACCGGGAGCGCGCGGGCGGCAGCAGTGCGCCGCGCGGCCGGGGCGGGGCTGGGGGCGGGGCGGGGCGCGTGACGCGCGACGCGGGCCAATGGGGCGCGCGCCCGGGGCCGAGCCTCCTGCGAGCCTTCGCGGCGCCCGCGGCGTCACGTGAGCCGCGGGGAGTGAGCGCAGAGCTAGCGGCGGCGGGCGACTGCTCCGCCGCAGCGACCCGCGGGCCAGCGGGTAAGCGAACCAAAGCAGGACCCGCGGCTGGGCCCGCGGCCGCCGCCGGACCGGGAGCCAGGCCGTCGCCCCCAGCCCAGCCCCCGGGGCCTCAAGACCGCCGGGGCCTGGCCGCTAGCCGGGCGTGCGCCAAGTTCAGGTGGGAGAGGCTTGGGGAGGCCGGACGGCCGCGTGGACGCGGCTCCGGGCGCCCAGGGGGCTGGTTGGGACACGAGTGGGGCAGCGGGGCGCTGACTGGTTGGTCGTGTGGCTGGGTGCCCTCGCCGCTGTCCCAAGCTCTGCGCGAGTGTCCGAGGAAATGTCGGAGGAGCGAGGTGAGCCCCCGAGCGGGGCCAGGGATCAGACAACCCCGTGGGAGAGTGACCCCCAGTTGCTCACAGGCACTTTCCCCGGGCAGGTCCGGGCCGCCGCCTCGGCGCCTGGCCCCGCGAGTCCTGCGCGCCTTGCGGGCTGGCCCTCCCATATGGCGGGCACACGGCCGGGCCTGGCGAGAGGAGCGGACAGGCGGACACTCCGGCCGGTCGGGGGCTGGGGGTGGGGGGACGGAGTGGCCTGTGGCGGTGGGGTTACTGTCGGTCACCGCAGCCTTGGCCCCTGGGGGAGGGGGGCGCAGGCCGAGGGCATGGTGCCCAGCGGGCAGCGCTCCAGGGCTCTACCGAGGGGTCTGAGCGGGTCCCCCATGTCTTCCTTTCCCACGCACCTTCCCACACCCGCGCAGGCACCCACACCAGCTCCACGCGCCAGTATGTCGGGGACACCCTCCGGCACAGCCACACTGCTGCCGCGCACCACGCCCCGCAAACGCACAATCACACGACATGAACTCACACCCCTTCGCGCACACCCGCACTGTTCACATGTCTAGTACTCTCTACTACCCACGCAGAGTCCCCTGGTTCTTTCCACTGAACAGGAGCAGAACGGTGGCTAGGGGGTGGCGGGGAATAGAGAGGCCACTCCCACCCACCATGGCCGTCTGTCGGGTTCCCTCTTTTCTCCCCACTGTGCTATTTCCAAAAGACCCCCCCCCCCCCCAGGACACAGAGAGGATGTTTTCTCGCCCAGTCCCTGGGGAGCTGACAAAAATCCCCAAATGCTTTAGTCCCTCAAATCACCTTTCCCCCAAAGACTAGGTGGCTCCTGGGAGCCCCCGCCGTCCTACAGGTGGGAGGACGCCTGGCCTCTGCGACTTTGGGGCCTGCGGATGGCGCAGGGAGCGGAGACTTTTATTTTGAAGGGCGGCCCCCACCCGCCACCCCCGTGATTTGCACGCTGACCCAATGGCAAGCCCTTGGCCGGCGCTGGGCTTGTTATCAATTACATGTTGTTCCTGCAGCCGCTGTGTCCCCGGGAGGATAAACAGCAGGCCTGGCCCGGCCGGGGGGGGGGGGGGGGGGGGGGCGGGGGGGGGGCGGAGTCCGGCTGTAGGCCGGGGACGTTGCCCGGAACAGTGTGTCCCCTCCCCCTGCACGCAGGCTGTGCTTCTGGCTATGCCATGTACTGCTGTGTTTTAGGGCCCCAGCCGGCTCCCTCCAGCCCTGGCGGGGCCCTTTTTCTATCGCCAGCGCCTGGGGTAGCCCCAGAGGCCCTCCTCTGCTCTCAGTGCCTGAGTGTCCAGCCCAGGCTGCTCAGCCCTGCATTAAAACTCTTCTGACTGACCCTGGCCATTCTATTCCTGGTGGAATCCCCACACCCCTACTGCCTGCCTGACTTCCCCAAGAACCTCTCGCTCACTCAACCAGCAAATTCTGCCAGCTCCTATTTTAGACTCTGGGATAGTAGTGGACTGGATAGTCAGAACAGCTTGTATTTTGGTAGGGAGGTAGACAGAAAATAAAGTACACAAACACTTAACCAAGATAGTTTTCCCCTGGTAGCAACTGCTGGAAGAATACAATGTGGGATGATTTGACAGAGGGTGGCCCAGAGAGCCCCCCCCCCCCCCCCGCAGTGACCTCAGAGCTGAGATCTAAATAAGGCACTCCCACTGGGAGCACTGGGGGAAGTGGGACCCACAGAGAGGGCACAGCCAGTGTGGAGTGGAGCAGGTGGAGGTGAGGTCTGGGAGAGGTGGGCAAGGCCCAGACGCATGGCTTCTGGGAGAAGAGGGGGTCACATTTCTCCTACCCTACCCTACTATACTTTCTTATTTCCCCTGCTCTTTCTTTTTATACCATTTCATCTGTGAATATCTCCGTTATCAACTATAATACCATCATCACACTTAAAAATATTAACTAATTCTTTATTATCATGTAATATTTAGTTGGTGATCACATTTCAGGGGAGAGTTTTAAGTGGGCAAGAACATGGCCTGATCTGCCTCTTACCACCAGTGAAGGCCTGTTCCTAGGTTCCAGGAAGGTTGGAGCCCCCTGATTCCTTAGGATCACAGTGGAGGGACAGAAAGACCATGTGTTCACCTATTTGGAGGTTAATCCTAATAGTTGGTACTGACCAACGTCTGCGTGTGCCAGCCCCTGTAGTAAGTGTTCAACTTGTGTTAGCTCACTGAACTCTTTCAGCAACCTGGGAACTAGGTACCACTGGCAGCAACCCCACCCAACAGATCAAGACACAGACACAAAGAGGTTGCCACCTGCCTGAGGCTGCCCATCTAAGTTGCAGAGCTTCCTGCTCAGAGGGTGGGTGAAAGGAGTGGTGGTGGGGCGTAGGGCAGTGTGGGCTCGTTGCCCTTCCTATTATCTGGCACTTTCATTCCTTCTCAGCACCTGATTTGGTGACTAGTGTATATTTTGAAACTCCCAGTTTTAAATCCTCAGATGAGTATTTATAATCAAAGAGCCAAATGTCCTCCTGGTAAAACTGCCCTGGGGCGCAGACTTGCCAAGGGCATCTACCTTGCCTTACTTTCCTGGAGCTCCATGAAGCTTCCTGGATTAGGGGGAAACTGAGGTCATTGGGGCCTGGAACAGGTGGGGAAACTGAGATTTGGGGAGTGCACAGCTGATGATGATCCTAGCTGGCCCTGAGAGGTCTCTGTCCCTGGCCAGGCTTGTTGGCTCGTTGACTATTGGATAGTGCTGTGTGCCAGTTCCAGGAGTAGTCCTCGAGACAGAGCATAGGGGTGGGTGCAGAGTGGTGACAGGAAGCAGAGAATCTCTGGTTTCAGATATAGAATGTTCCCTTTTCCCGAACCTCACTGGTCACTGGGTGGGGACAAAGGTCCACAGAGGTGGCCCCATTACAGCCGTACACTGTTGACTTTCCTTGAACACCAGACCTCGCATGGCCTTCAGAGGACACAGATGTCCCCTCTCTTCTCTGTTGATATTCTCTGAGCCCCTCCTGGGCACCAGCTGCCACGCCAGAAGCTGGGAACACAGTGGAGACCCAGCAGCCTAGCCTGCCCTCATGGAATTCATGGTCTAGTGGGGAGACGGGAGTTAGCTGGGCCTTCCTGAGGTGGTGAGTGCTCCATGGGGTACAGGCCAAAGGCATCTTATCTCCCATCCCACTAGATGGCTATGAAGTCAGAATGGGGTAGTGGCCGTGCAGGTGCTCTGGGACCTGGGTCCACTTTTGCACTTGTGAGTTATCACCATGCAGCAGGGTCCTGTCCACCCAGTGGTAAAGCCTCAGTAAAGTGTCTGGGTACAGTTGAGAGCATTTTGTTCTGTCTCTGCCTTTCCCATTTCACAGAGGAGGCAGGTGAGGCTGGAGGGGTCTGAGAATGGGAGGGTGGATGAGCTGCCCCGCTTCAGATGGGGAAACAGCCTGTGAGGACAGGCGCATATGCGGTCTCTAACCTATTTTTTTCTTTTTTTTTTTTGCCACAAATTAGACTTGCCTGATTAAACTATTGACTGCCAAGTTAAGGTTCAATATCCGATAAAATAATTTTTTAATATGAGCATGGCACATTTAATATTTGGGATGTACTTATGTTACAAGTTGCTTGTTTTTTAAACCTGAAAATCAAATTTAATTGGGTGGCCTATAGTTTTATTTGCTCAGTCTGGCAACCCTACCCAGGCTCCAACAACCACAGGGGTCAGAGGGCAAATGGCCATTCTCCTACCCCCTTCCAGTGACTCAACAAGAATGAAGCTGAGGTCAGGTGTCCTCAGCAATGCAGCCACTCCAGTTAGCTGGACGGGGTTCCCCAACCTTGGCCGTTTCAGGGTACAGAGAGCCTCCTTGCGTCCTTTCTTGCTCACATGCACCCACGCTCAATCATTCACAGGTACATGGGTGTTCTTTCCCGAATTGTTCTGGAAAACCTGTTTGAAACCAAAAGTACCCTGGATTGTGCAATGGACTTGGAGAGCGCTCTTTTGCAAATAGGTGGTGCAATTTTGGAAAACACTCTTGCAGAGTTCTCCCACGGGATGGGATGGAGACAGGATCCAGGCATTTGGCAGTGGGAGACTGTGGGTGGGCAGCGGGGTGGAGGCACAGGCCTACGAGGTGGCAGGTGAGCATGCCATCCTCCTGATCAGGCCTCCTTTGTTCCTCTCTGCAGCCGCCGACGGCACGGCCAGGCCAGCATGGTGGACCACTTGATGCCAGTGGACGAGACCTTCTCGTCGCTGAAATGCCCGATTGGCTATCTGGGTGGCAGGCTGGCCAGTGGGCGGGCATACCACAGGCTGCCCTCGCCCCTCTCAGAGGATGACAGCGACGCCTCCAGTCTCTGCTCCTGTGCCAGCCCAGACTCACAGGCTGTCTGCTCCTGCTACGGTGGTGGCCCGGGTGCTGAAGGCCAGGACAGCATCTTGGACTTCCTGCTGTCCCAGGCCACACTGGGCAGTGGTGGTGGCGGTGGCATCGGGGCCAGCAGTGGTCCCATGGCCTGGGGGGCCTGGCGGAGGGCACCGGCACCTGGGAAGGGAGAGCATTTCTGCTTCCCTGAATTTCCTGTGGGCGACCCCGATGATGTCCCAAGGCCCTTCCAGCCCACCCTGGAGGAGATTGAAGAGTTTCTAGAGGAGAACATGGAGCTGGGGGTCAAGGAAGCCCCAGAGAGCAACAGCAAGGACTCGGAGGCCTGCGGCCAGTTCTCAGCAGGGCCCCATAGGAGCCACCTCCATCCTGGGTCCGGTGGGAGAGAGCGCTGCACCCCCCCTCTGGGCAGTGCCAGTGTGGGTGGCAGCCAGAGCCCAGGTGGGGGGCCTGCATCTGATGGCCCCATCCCCGTGCTGCTGCAGATCCAGCCTGTGCAGGTGAAGCAGGAATCAGGCACGGAGCCTGCCTCCCCTGGGCAGGCCCCAGAAAGTGTCAAGGTGGCCCAGCTTCTGGTCAATATCCAGGGTCAGACCTTTGCACTTGTGCCCCAGGTGGTGCCCTCTTCCAATGTGAACCTGTCCTCCAAGTTCGTGCGTATTGCCCCTGTGCCCATCGCTGCCAAGCCCGTTGGGTCGGGACCCCTGGGGCCTGGCCCCACCGGCCTACTCATGGGCCAGAAGTTCCCCAAGAATCCTGCAGCAGAACTCATCAAAATGCACAAATGTACTTTCCCCGGCTGCAGCAAGATGTACACCAAAAGCAGCCACCTCAAGGCCCACTTGCGCCGGCACACAGGCGAGAAGCCCTTTGCCTGCACCTGGCCGGGCTGCGGCTGGAGGTCAGTATGACAGGTGACGGGCCGGGTGCTGAGCATGACCAGCTCGTCTCTGTTCCCCTGGGTGTCAAGGCCTGGCTCACCATGAGATAAGGCTGATTAGGAAGGGGGGAGTGGGGTCTGAGCTGGCATGGCTGCCCAGAGCTTTCCTTGTCCCTAGTGATCACTAAAGCCTGAAACCAACTGGTCTCCGGTTTCACAATGACCAGGTAAGGCTTGCTGCGGCTCATGCTGACGGTGAGGAGCTGGGCCATGGCAGAAGGGCTCTCTTCTTAGTAACAAGGGCGGCTATTTTAGAAAGGTGGAGTGAGGGCTGTGTATCAGAGGGGCTGTGGCCATGTGCACACGGCTCCCTCTGTGCCTCACAGCACCCCTAAGGGTGAGTACTACCCTGACTACCACCTTTCAGCTGCGGGAACAGGCTCAGACCGGCTAGGTAACTTGCCCAAGGCCATACCACGTTGTAAATGGGATTCGAGCCTAGAGGGTCCTGTGTCAGAGAAGTCACATTCTGGAAACGCCGCTGTTCCCGCCAGAGGGACCAGCTTCGCTTGTAGATGTTCACGGACTTGTGGACTGGGCCTGGTCCTTGCGCCCCTGGGGGTACTTGAAGGTGTATCTGGGGAACTTCAAAGGACAACCAAGAGGGGAGGACCAGGCGGGGCATGCTGAAGTAAAGGTGGAGGAGTCCTTCCAGACTCCACTCCGTGGGGTTCAGCAGGGGAAACCAGCTCTCAAAGGACAGGGGTCTTGCTCAGGGCTATGCAGCCAGCGGGTGGCAGAGCTGGATGGGCCCTCAGGTGGGCTTGTGCACCTTTTCCTGAAATGCAGGCAGCCAGGAGTTCCCGTGCTCGGGGGTACCACGGCTGGGCTTTCCCCAGTCTTTAGGATGCCGACCCTGGAGGAACGTGGCCCCCCTGGGAGGGTGGCCTGTGCTCCCCACGTTCCCAGGCTGTGCTGTGCGGCCGCTGCTTTGTGAGTGTGAGAGCCACGTGGCACGCTCATTTGTGTGCGGACCTCACAGTGGGCGTGCAGCTGTGCGTGTGCACGTGGGTACATGTTTTGCTTTCTTAGTGTGCGTCTTGGCGGTTGGCATAACCCCACGTGTTTGGGTACCTCGTCCGCGTGTGTGCATCTGTGTGGGCGTGACTGATGGGGAGCAGTCGGCAGCTTCTGTTTTCTGGAGCAGACTCCTCTGAGAGCGCGCCGATATCCAGTGCGATGCTGCAGCCTCTTTCCATGGAGGGCTGGGCTGGCCAAGGAAGGCACTTTTCCCAAACAGCTCTGGGGTTATGGAGGCCCTTCCCGAGGAAGGGTCTCACCCAGCCGCTGCCCCCCAAAGGCACCTGTCAGACAGGCTTACGTGGCTTCTGCAAGAGTGGGCACAGTGTTAACGTCACATCTCTCTCTGGGCCTCCCGCCACAGTCTGCTGAGTGGGCCTTGGGGTGACAGGTGCACCTGTGGGACCACTTGTGAGGCCCAGCGCGGTGGTCGGTATGCAGTGTGGGTGGTCAGAGCTTGGGTGTGGGAAGAGAAGCCAAGATCCTGGGGCCATAGAGACAGGTGCTCAACTGTAGAACGGAGGGGCATTGTGACACCCTGGGTGGGTGATAGCTGGCAACAATGGCGGGGAGCCTCAGCCTAGGTCAGCCTCCAACTTGCTGTGTGCCCTCAGGGAGGTCCCCCCTGGCCAAGCCTCAGTTTCCTCATCTGTGAAGTGGAGGGCCTGCTCCGTACCAGGGTCAGGAGCGGAGCAGCACTCAGCACCACCCCTTCTCATTGGTGGTACTGTTACTCATACAAGGGCAGAGTCTGAGAAGGGTGCCATTTTGGAGGTACCCCAGACTCACAGGGACTCTTCTTGGATGCATTTTCCTTTTGGTGGGGGACAGGGCTGTGGAGGGGTTGAGCATCTGGCTGGACAGGGCACTGGCTCAACTCATGATGGGCTCACCTTCCTGGGCACTGTCCCCTGGTCACTGCTGACTCTTGGCGAGTGGCCCCTCCAGTCAGGATGAGTCTGGGTAGGGCCACGGGGTAGAAGGGTGTGGTCCTTGGTAAGGCTGCCCACTTGTCCCATTCCCCCCAGGAGGAGGGGACCTGCCTTCTGGGCTGTCCCAGAGAGCATATGGAACGCTCAGCCCAGAATGCATCTTAGGGAGGCAGATCTCAGCCCCAACACAGTAGCCTCTGGAGGTGGTGAGTTCCCCATGGTAGGAGGCATGCAAGCAAGTGGGGGTGGGATTTGTGGAGGGGATTCAGCTTTGCCACTGTGTGGGCCTTGGAACTGGTCTTCTTGCCCAGGACCCTCTTGCAGGGGAAGGCTGGTGTGTGCCTGGCATGGCGAGGTCCCTGTGGAGCTGACCATGGAGCCATCCCTGCCTCCAGCCACTCCTAGGCCTTCAGAGGGCCTCCCCAGCTTCTCCCAGTGTTCCCCTGGAATAGGGTCTGGCCTCTGGGGGGTTACAGGTGATGGAGGCACAGGGAGCTGAAGGTGCCTGCCTTTTGGGAGAGCTATTTCTCTGAGAATGCAAGAGTCCCTGGTTGGCCTTCAGAAATCCTGAGCCCCTGGAATTGTGCACAGATGTGCATGTCCCTTGTATGTGGAGGGAGCCCTTGCAGTAGTTGGGCGGGAAGACAGACCAGCTTTGGGGCAGCTTGGTCTGGACAGGACAGCAGTAGTAGTGATGATGACAGGCGCCATATTTTCCAACCACTTACTCTGTGCTGGGCACTGCTCTAACCTTCCACCAATCCCTACCCTTGCTTGTGTACTTCCTGCCATGAGGAACTCATTACCTTATGAGGCTATTCTGGCCTTTTCATGTGCTTTGGCACACTTAGATTCCTATCCAAACTTCTCATTCTGGTACGATCTGCTTGCCAACCTCCCTTCCACAATGTAGGCTCCCACTCAGGCCCCCACCCTCTCTGTGCCCTCTCTGCACCCTCTGTCTCCACCACTTTCCTCCTGATGGCAATGGTAGTTGGTCTTGCGATGGCCCCTGCTTTGTTCTACACGTGTCACATAGATAAGCTCGTTGAGTCCTTACAACAACTCCGTGACACGGAGGCACCAGTGTGCATTTCCCAGAGAGCCCACAGGGATGGAGCTAGTGGGCATGGCTCTGGGTGTGCCCTCGGGCAGGTGCTTCAGCGCCACACTGACCCACCAGCAGTCTGGTGGACATACCTTTCCCACCTAGAAACTTGACCCCTGTAGCTACTCGGCTGGCCTTTCCCTCATCCTCTCTCCCTGTGTGCCTGGTACTATAATGGCTGGGTGTCCTCTCTCCCCCATGAGGCCAGAAGCTCTTTCAGGTGTCATGCTTCTGGGCTAGGGGAAAAGAGCCAACCACAACAACGGCAATAACAGTAGGTCCTGATGCATGCTCCGAATGTTCCAAAGCAGCTCATTTAATGCCCCAAACAAGTCTACAAGGTAGGCATCAGTATGCTGTCCCCATTTACAGAGGAGGAATTTGAGGCACAGAACAGTTAAGTAAGTTCTCCTTGGTCACACAGCTAGTGAGTAGCAGGTCAGGAGTTCAGCCCAGGCTGTTTGCCCCCGCCCTGACCTCCTCCACCCAGACTCAGGACCTCTCTCTAGCCCCCAGGGCAAACCTCCCATGGGAGGTGGCCTATGCAAGTGGTGGGAAATAGGATCTCCACCTGCAGCTGCTCTTCAGGCAGCACCCCTGCATACTTGCCTGCCTTTTCATATGGGGAGCTTCCCATGCCCAAGGCTGCCTCTCTTCCTGGTGGCCCCAGTGAACAGTTTGCTCTTTATCCTGCTGGGCTGGTTCCGGCCCTGGCACTGTGTCCTGTGCCCCTCTGTGAAATGAATGGTGTCCTCCCCTCCCCCCCCACCCAGGGCATCCTTTGCCAGGTAACCAGCCCCCACTTCCTTCTGCTTTTGGTCCTGAACCCAATATTCCTTGTCCCTTCCTCTCTTGGGATGTGGTTCTGGCATCCTTGATGGGGCTCAAACCAGACTTCTCCTATCCTGATCTGTCTGGGAAGTGGCTGTTTGCCTGCCTTCCTAGAAGTTTCCTTGCTACACTCTTGGACACAGGCCCCCTTTGTTCACGGCAGCAGAACGTCCTGTTCCGGAATGGCCAAGCTGTTCCATCCAGAAAGAATACTCTCCTTCCACAGCTAATAGGAATACTAGTAACTTTTAGCAGCCCTGTGTGGCAGGTACTGTGGTCATTCCCAGTGGACCTGGAGGCCCAGAGAAGGGTGGTTGCAGGCCTGAGGCCCCAGGGCCAGGATGGGGCAGGGACAGGATTCAGACCCAGTGGTCCGCTCCTGGCCTGCTCTCTTGGCCCCTGTGTCACTGCTGGTCCTGTTCAAGGAGGCATTCTCTTACTTCTTCCCTGCACTTGGCAGAGCCCCCAAGTGGTGTTGGGAGGGTTATGCACTGTACCACTATTCCAGGGAGCACCATTCCCATTGCGGTCCTTGAGACCTGACTATTTACAGTAATGGCTTTCTGGCTGATGGAAGGGACGCTTTGCACAAAGGTGCGGTGTGTGCCAGTTGTGGGGCTGTCGTGTTGGCTGCCTCCCTCTCCTGCACCTCAGCAGCAGGAGTCATGGTGCTGTCCCATGTGCCCCTGGACATTGCTGCACTGAGCTCCTTGCAGGTAATCAGAGCTCACAGTCATTGAATGACTGCCATGTGCTGAGCACTGTTATAAACACTCAGTGCCTTTTACAATCCTCACAGTCCTGTGAGGCAGAGCTGTCAGTTCCCTGTCTCCAGGTGGGGAAACTGAGCCTCAGAGAGCTTGGTGACTTGCCCAGGTCACCAAGTAGCAGAGCTCACTGCCTGCAAGGCCTGAATCTTAGCCACGTGGCCTCACTCCCACTGTGTGGCCTTCAGGCTCCTCCAGTGGCTGCTGTCTGGGAGAATGTGTGTGAGGGTGTGAGGTAGGGATCTTCTGAGGGCTCAATTCCCAGGGATGGACCTCTCAGGTCACAGGATCCTGAGGCAGCAGGGAAGAGGCTTGCAGGTTGGGACAACTTGTTCTCAGGCCTGGCTCTCCCTCAGTGTCCCCATGCTGAGAGGGCCACTGTGGTCTTTGTGTCAACTCCTTTGGCCTCTGAGACAAGTCCCAGAAGGTGGGCAAAATCCCAAGGTCTTCACTGCATGAGTGAGGATACAGGCCCGAGAGGGTTCCCAAGCTTGCTCAGGATCACGCAGGGCTCCTGGTGGGGTGGGGACCTGAAAGGATCCAACCATTCTGCTGGTTGTGTGACCCGGCAAGCCCCTTGTCCTTGTTGAGCCCTTGCTGTGGTATTGTCAGTTCTCTGGGACTGATCCTGGTGCCCAGAAAGGGTTCAGCAAAGGCTATTGCTGGTGGCGTTGTTTCTGTGGCTTCCTGCTTGCCCCTGCCCTGGGCAGGCCCACCTGTTCAGAAGCTGTATGTTCAACTCCTGCTGGGGGCAGGTGGCCCTGGCCTGGGAGCAGGGTTGGGGCTCTGACCTCCAGGGTGCATTGATGCCACTTCCTCACTGGCTTAGGGCTCCAGTGACACACACCACCTAACCCGGCAATGTGGAGGAGACCAGGCGCTCTGCAGTCACGGTGGGGGGGGGGGGGGGGCAGGGACGCAGGGCATGGTAGGACGCTGCGCCAGGACCTTTGCTCTGCCATGCTGGGGATGCTGGATCAGTCCCTCATCACTTGGAGCCTCAATTTCCTCATCTGGAAAGTGGGCCAGTCCGGCTTCCATTATTTCAGACATATGCTGAGAGCGTTGCTCTGTGCCAGCCTCGATTGGAGCTCTGGGGGATGATGTGGGGTGCCAGCCTCCGAGCGCAGAAACCCCGCTGTGCTGTCAGGACAAGGCCCTGGGCCCCGGAGTAGCTGAGCCAGGCTGAGCTGCCTGTCCTCTGTGCTTCTGGGCAGGCTCCCTATCTGGTGCTCAGGCCTTCCTACTCCCCAGCTGCACCTTCCCCAGGGCATGTTCCTTCTAGTCCTTGGCAGGCTGTGGGATTAAGGAAGGCCTCCACCCACAGGGTCAGGTGAGAGGTAGGCTACCCATTGGCTGGTTTGGGGACAGCTGTACCAGCTAACCTACCTCTTGCTGTGTGGCCACAGGTTCAGGGAGGGGCTGCTGGACCTGTGTGTGTGTGTGCATGCATGTGTTCATGTATGTGCATGTGCACCCTCATGTGATGTGACTGTGTACATGCGTGTGTGTGCACACATGTTTGTGATGTGCACATGTGTGGCATTTATATAGGGGTGTGTACGTGTGCATTGTGTGGTGTGCACACGTGTTTGTGTGTGCAGGTGATGAGACTTGAGAAGAATTCCCTGTGACAGCCCTACATCCTCCCGTGGGTGCTTGCTGTATCCATGCTTTCATGTAAATGCACTTATTGGGCACCTGCCATATGCCAGGCCCTGGGCTGCTTGTGGGATGGATCACAGGGAATGAGACACATGTCTTTCCTCATGGTGCTGATGGTCTAATGGCACAGAACTTCATCAGAAGTTGAAAACGAATTTAAAATTACAGCAGTGGTGGGGCCAAGAAAGTGAGATGCATTTTGTGTCGCAGGAGCCTAGAATGGGATGCAGTCCTGGAAGGCTTTCTTGAGGAAGTGACATTTGAGCTGAGCTCTAAGGGATGGGGGGAGGGAGCAAGAAGAGGGGAGGGAAGAGCATTTCAGATGGAGGGAACGGTATGTGCAAATGTCCTGTGGCAAGACGGACCAAGGATGGGTCAATGGACCAAGGTAGAGCACGGTGGAGAACAGTATGTATGTGTGGGGAGTGGGATCTCATTGTCAGGATGAGGGTCATGGGGTAGGGGGAGCTTCAAATCCCTGAAATCAGTGGCAGCGGTCTGAGCCCTGTGGCCCAGCTGGGACCCTTACCTCTCCCGTTAGCAGCTGCTCACTCTCATTGGCCTCTGGGCTGTGGGAGCGCTTGCTTTCAGGCAGGCTGAGGCCAAAGGAGGGAGGTGGCAGGTGAACCATTTAAAGTTTCAGAAGTATCTTGCAGTGGTGTGGTTTTGTCTGGTGACAGCGTAGGGGACCCAGCCTTCAGGAAAGCAGTGACCAGGAGTGGGGGGGGGGGGAGCTCAATTCTGAAGACCCTGCCTCAGCTGAAATGAAGACAAGGGAGAGGAGCCAGGGGCTCCCTGCAGTACTGGGGAAGAGATAGCTCTCTCAGGCTTCGCTTTCCCCTCAGGAGGGGCTTCCGCCTTCACACCTTCCTAGAACCCCAAGTTCTGCCTAGGGGGCAGCATGGGGTGCAGCTAGCGGCAGTCGGGGCCAGGGTGATCCTGCAGCTCACCACTGGAAGGGGAGAGGGAGGATGCTGTGGAGAGTAAATCCTGGGCTCTGGTGGGCTTGACAGCCTATCAGAATATTTACCACTGCTCACAGGCCCAGATGCCCAAGAACGGACCGCTGTGCCACCACTGAGGCTTTTACTGACAGTTCTTGCCACCCTGGGGGGCGGGGGGCGGGGGAAAGTGACTTTTCACCAGTGGATTCAGAAGTAACTCGGGACCCGGAGAAGTGTTGGGGCCGCGCCTGCCGCGCCTGCCCGGCTGGGTAGAGCCCTGCACCTGCCGGCTGCCTTCTGGGTGGGCGCCTGGCGGGGCGGGCCTCGCTGACCGCGGCCCGTGCGTGTCCCGCAGGTTCTCCCGCTCGGACGAGCTGTCGCGGCACCGGCGCTCGCACTCGGGCGTGAAGCCCTACCAGTGTCCTGTGTGCGAGAAGAAGTTCGCGCGGAGCGACCACCTCTCCAAGCACATCAAGGTGCACCGCTTTCCCCGGAGCAGCCGCTCGGTGCGCGCAGTGAACTGAGCGCCCGCCAGCCCCCGCCCCCTCCTCCGCCCCCTCTCCCGCCCCGTTATTTTGTAGCAATAATTTATTTGCCTCTTCAGAGGGACGTGACAATGTTGCCAACCCACTTTCTGAAGCCCGGGAGGTGCAGGAAGACGGGGGCTTGCCTGGGAGGCGGGAACCCAGAGCCCCCAGCCCACTGCCTTTCCTAGGAAGACCTAGAGCCACACCCGCGCCCCTGGGGGCTGGGCCCCTAGCACCCGGGCTGCAGGCTGCAGGCCGGCCTTCCCGCCTTCGTGCCATCGTGCCTTCCCGTGGGCCGGCCTGTGCTGCAGCGGCCTGGGAGCCTGGACCTTCTCCCACTGGGCTCCCTGCCTGGGCCAAGGCCGGCACTTTTTTGCTCAGAAGAAGTAATGTGCAGTTTTGAAATGTCAGTTCCCAGAGGGAGCCATGCTGGGAAGAAGGAAGTAGGCCAGAAGTCCAAGGCTGCACTGTGGTGTGAGGGTGGCTTTGTCCAAGATCTCCCGCTCAGCTTGACTACCAGAGGGTATGAGCAGGGCAGTCAGGGGGGCAGAACCTGGCCCCTGGGCAGATGTGGAATTAGGCTGAGAAGCCCCCTCTTTGGGGGCCTGGCAATGCATGTGCTTGAGTTAAAGTGCAGGGCAGACAGACAGATGCAGGCTAGCCCCAGAGCATTTGTACCCAACATGGCTCATCCCCTCATCCCGTTTCCAGACAAATCCAGACACCAGCCTCCAGGGTCACCTTGGGGAAGAGAGGGGAGTAGGCTGCATTGCGTGTAGGAGAACTAGATATAGCCTCCGAATCCTGATTTAGAAATGCATTCCTTATTTTGTCTAGAAATTAATATCAAATGAACTAGCTTGTTTTGACAGGTTTATTTCACATCCTATGAATGTATGTAAATAAGCTGTACATAGGTACATCTACATAAAATATCTTTTAATAACATATCAACATTTGTGTAAATTTGAAATTAAAAAATCTATAAAGCTGGTGTACATATGTTACAATTATGTATATTTTCTTTGGTCCTTCATAAAAATATATTTACTTTGCCAATAAAAAGAAAAAAGAACTCAATAACCTTATGGCATTCATGTTTTCCTCTGCTTTGCCAGGAAAGGGGGGTGATTCTGAGGTCTGAGGGCTGAGTCTCTGTGTCTGTGTTTGCAGCATTTGGGGGACCTTGATTTGTACCCAGAGGGACATGAAGACCCCTTTGGGATTCAGCCCCAGGCGCAGCAGTGCAGGCTTCTCAAAGCAATCCCACCTCTGTGCCGGCTGCTGGGTTTTTGCTCACAGCAGTTTCCTGGAGGGCTCCCTCCCCTCTCTCCACAAACCCAAATTCAGCCCCCATCCTGGCGTCACCTGTGGGAGGCTAGCACAGGCTAGGCCAGGCCCACAGTGATCAGTGCTACTCTGATGTATTGTTGGAGACCCTCACTCAGTGCTCCCTGTGCAGGCCTTCAAGCATCTACTGTGCACCTGCTGTATGCATGGTGTGCCGAGGAGACTCCCTTTAGGAAATGGCATGTTATTCCCACCTACCCAGGACATTGTAAGTGGACTGAGTTCTGACTGGTAGAGAGGAGCCTTGGAGAGGCCAGTACGTGCAATGAGGCTGCCTCCTCCACCCATCCGAGCTACTCTGAGTTCTGGGGAGACAAGTACTCCTGAACTCCCCCAGATTTTTGGGATCTCCACCATATGCTTGCACAGTGGAAGTCTGAATGCTTCCACCTGTCCTGGGTGGGTTGGAAGCTGGGGACAGTGGGAGCTAGAGAACAAGGAGAGGCCGTGAGCTAGCAAGGGAGCTCAACTGGGTGGCTGAAGTTGGGCAGGGCAGGCTGGGCCTGGTGGCTGGTGTGACGAGGCTGCCCCAAGTCTCGCGTCCACATGAGGTGAGAGGCAAGGACCTTCTAGAGGTGACCCTTTCCCCAGGAGACCAGTGCAAGCACGGCAAGTCTTTCTTAGTGACACCCTTGGAGATGGTGGCAGGTGGTGATGCACCCATGGATTTCCAGCAGAGAGATGTCTAATCAAGGGAGATGTGTGCGCGTGTGCACGCATGTGCACGAAGTCGTGTACTTCTGAAGGTGGAAGCCCTTGTTCCCGCTGATGGGAGCCACCTGTCACCGTCATCTTCCCTGTCTGGTGGGAGCTGGCAGACATGAAGCTTTCCTGTGCACCCAGCACTACAGCATGGGTGATTGGAGATTGGGTATTCCCTCCTGGCCAGCTCTGGTCCTGCGGAAAGGACTCGGCCTTGTGACCTCTGCCCTTTGCCCCTGACCAGACCTACCCTCTGTGGTCAAACACACTCTGGGGAAACGAGGCATTGATTTCCAGGCGCATTAACATCGCCTTTCTTTATCCATAAACAAGCAGTGCAGCCCAGATAAGAGGAACAGTGGAGGTCGGGACAGTTTTACTGGAGGAGGAATAAGTCAGTGAACACATGCCCCTGTGATGCCAGGCACCGACCTAGGACGCTGCTCACTTCATCGCAGTGTGTGTCCCCCAAAGCCCACTGCACCTAGCCTGCAGTCCTCTGGCTAACCTGTCCTGGCCATGGTGAAGCTGGCCACATGTGCAGGGGGGTCTAAGCCATCGCCCTCAATCCGGGCTCTGGACTCCCCACCTGATGTGTATGTTGGCACCTGCCCTGAATGGGTAGCACAGCCCAGGTCTCTGCTTTCCAGAAGGGTCAGCTGAGAGGGCTGGCAGGGATAGCAAAGCAGAGGGAGTGTAGCATGAAGACCATTGTCTTTGGAGCCTCACTTCACTTTGGGCAAGTTTGTTAAACCTTTCTGAGTTCAGCTTCTTCACCCTATAGGATCGACATGACCGTCCCCAGGTCACAGCATGGTTGGTGAACAGTAGGTAGGAGAGTGTGACTTTGAATAACAGCAAAGACCCTTTCTAGGGTGTGGGCCTCCTCTCAGCCAGATGGAAAAGCTGGGGGATGCAGGGCCTCTGTTCTGCGCATGCGCCACCATGGTGGGGTCCATGGGAACGCTGAGAGCTCTGTGGAGGCACCTGGCTTGTCTCTTGCCTCTGAGAGACCCCCATGCCGCCACCTTGGTCACCCTTTGTGACTTCTGTGACTGGAAGAGTAGTGTTTGTCTTGGCCCATGAGCCAAGAAAGCAGATGGAGCCGGCCAGTGTGCCCCCAATTGTTTGCAATAGAGAGGAATCTGGATGGTTGCAGAGCAGAAATCTAGCCTGGCACCCTGCCCTGCACAATACCCCTTCCCCAAGGCACACAGGGGGGAAGAAAGTACCAGTTATTGAGCACTGTACCAGGCAGAGTATGGGTTAGGTTGCTATAACAAAGAGACCCCCAAACACCGTGTCTTACACAGGTAGAAATTTATTTTTCTCTGTTGGAACAATCTGGAAGTAAGCAGCCTCAGCTGATAGGTGGCTCTGGCATGGGACAGCCAGGCTCCTTTTCTCCTGTTGCCCTCCACACCCTAGAGTCTGGTCCAAGATGGCTTGCAGGGTATCAGATGAGCCCACAGAAAGCAGGCAAGGGGCTGCACGTTCCCTCTCCCTGTGAAGGCACGGGCTGGGATTTGCACAGTTCAGTCCCCTAGTGTCTCCTTGGCCAGAACCTAGTCACATGGCCTCATCCAGCAGAAGAAAAGCTGGAAAATGTGGTCTTGATCTGAGAGGTTGTGCGCACAGCTAAAACATGGGGGTTCCACTACGGGAGAATACAGGGGAGCATGGGATCTGCCTTTCCAGGGAGCACATCCAGCACACCTGGCACCGTGCGTACAGCGGGCCCTGCTGCTCTCCTGGCAGAGCAGCCCCTGGGCAGCATGGCGAAGGCGTGGAGGGCCTGGTGGGTCTGCTCACCCATGGCCTCATCCACGTTCTCGGAGGGAGTCTCACTGATGGGTGTGGGACCAACAGTCAGGCTTCCAGGGACAGCAGGGAGTCACGAAGGGGAACCGTGGGAAAGAGGAGCTAAGATGCTTTGGTTGACAAGCCACGGCAGCAAATGGCAGAATCCTGACTCATATGGACAAAAGTAAACAAAACAAAACCTCATAATGTCATCATTGTCTACTCCTGGATAGAGCCCTGAATCTATACAAGCGCTATGGGGGTTGGGGAACAGAAGCAGAAAGACCCCCGGTCCAGGCTTCTAGGTAATCGTAGTTTTTCTTGTGCTCTGTGCGTTCGGAGTACCCAAGGCCCCAGGCAGTGGGTTGAGGGGAGACGCTGCTGGGAACGGGTCTGTTAGCCCGTTGGGGTTGGGACAGCAGTTGATGTGACTTGGGGCTTTGAATGTCACATAAGGGGACCAAGAGTGAGGCAGAGTCTGTCCTTTGTGTGACCAACACCAAGTCTAAATGGAAAAAGACCTCAGATGGAAGGGAGCAGCATTCAGAAGACTCAAAGAAAGGGCACACCTCAGCCATCTGCTGCAGGACCCAGAAAGGCATCTCTGGAAGTTTCCTGTTACCATCCATCTCCGGCAAAGGCACAGAGAGAGCTCAGGGTGGAACAGAAAAGCAACAGGACAGGGTGCAGAGAGGGATGGAAAGCATGAGGGAAAATCACAAGGAAACAAAGATGGTACTGTCAGAGTTAAAGCCTGCCTCGTACAGCAAGTGGGGCAGGCAAACTCCATAGATTTTTCAGAACTAGTGGTGAAGGAAGGATGGAAATGAGATATGTAGGTATGGAGGGCAGGAAACACCACCAATAGCTGGATGCAGGGGAGTCTGGATGAGACTCCAGAAAAATAACCTGTATACTAATACATAGCACATAAAATATACCACATATATAATATACTATTAAAGAATGTAATACACTAATATGTAACATATATAACAAACTAACACATAATACACTGATACATGTGTATATAATACACCAATAACCTATAACAGAAATATATATGCATATATAATATATAATATACTAATATATGACATATATACTAATATAGTATGTAATTCTGACCATATACACATATTAGTGGGGGACCGGGAAAATGTCTCACCCTTGGAGGACAGGAGAGCATAGTGGGTGGGTCGTAGAGGCATTTAGTTAGAATGAGGCCATGTAAGCTTGGTTGGCCTCTCTGAACTTCAGAGTCCTTATCTGTGAAATGAGTGTGATAATGCTGACCTCCAGGCTGTGTGAAGATGGAGTAAGTTATGTTTAAAACAACAGACCCATTGCATAGTGGACAAGAGGCAACAACCACTGATAAGGTGGAAAGGAGAAAAATGCACCAACCAAAGAAGGGCCTCCCACTGGAGGAGAGCACCTGAGATATGGACGCAGAAGCTCAGAGCAGCCCCATCTCATAAGGTCCTGCTGCATGCCATAGCCCTGTCAGTCCTAGGTGGGAAGGGACACCTGGTCTTGAAGAATGAGCCTGTAGTGGAAGGAGGTCTGGACCCTGAGACCAAGAAATTTTCCAACCACCATCAGGTCTTCCCCGTCTCAGCTCGTCTGCGCTGACTCTCGGCCAGCATTTGCCTCTGATAGAAACCCAAGGATCCTCCCCAGGGCTGTTTATGGCCCACCTGTACCCAACGTCGGTTCTGGGAACTGGACTCAACTCTGAGCTGAGCTAATCTTGTAAAACCCAAGAGCAGTGTCCATGTGGAGTGGCAGCTAGCACAGGGGAGGAGTGGGGTCACCATATCTCTTGGCAAAAGATGACATCAGAGACATGA